GACTTTATCTGACTCCATGCCTTTTCTACTTTAAGCATAATTCTCAGGGTCGTTGGTAGCTATCTAAGGCCAAAAGCAATTATTTCCAAGCACAATTCCAACGGAGTTCTTTTTGGCAAGATTTATGGAGAAGAAAAGGATAGAGGCGCAACAATTTCAGCCACTGAACTATTTCTCATTTAGGACCAATAGATGCCCAGATATTTATAGCAGAGGTTTCGAATTTCATTTTAAAAGCTCTCCTATAACCCAGCTCTTTTCACTGTTAATGGAGAAGCTGGTAGCTGGTGGTTTACATTTAGTTATTACGAATGCTTTTATGCTGCTTCACTCATTTGAACCCTAACCAGCCCTATTTATTTTATTATGAATGCTGAATTACATCACACAGTCTCTTGAAGCTCTTATTAGTATGGAAACCAGCCTTTACAATAATGGATCTGCTGATCCATTTGCAGCCGATTAATGAAAATATTTCCAACTCTCAGCGCTTTAATAATAGCAACAGCAGAGCAATTCTTATCAATTTTAAATCACATTGCTGAAATGTTTCAATGTACCGGGTGACCAAAAACGTGTTTTGAAATGGCAGAGGGCTTCTTGGTCTGATATTTGGGAGAAATCCCTATGATGAGGATCCTTACCTTTGTGAGGTATGGCTTTGGGGAAGCAGATTATCTCTTATTATATCAATATTATTATCTCAGGTTTTGAATAAAAATAAGTTTGAAACTGAGGGCTCCAAGATGAGCCTCTCTAGGCATGTAGTAAATATGACGAGTTTATTGTTACGCCAGTCCACGTTCATTGCTCTGGAACATGGAATAAGGGCATCTAATTCATAATAGCAAAAGAAAAGGGAAAGGAATACATATACATATATAAAATAAGTTTTACATTAGAGCAGAGGTCTCCAAACTTGGCCACTCGCAGAATTGCTGGCTCTGCTGTGCTATAATATGCAGAAGGAACTTTTCAAGCATGGTTCTTGAAACCTGATGCCAATCTAGGTATTTAAAAAAGCTTAATATTTCTACCTTCGTTCCCAAAGTAGCCAGAATTTCTAGGTTACATCATAATTCCACTAAACCAGAAGTGGGGAACTATGGATCCTTTATGACTTGTGGACTTCAACTCCCAGAATTCCTGAGCCAGGCATGCCTGGCTTAGGAATTCTGGGAGTTGAAGTCCACAAGCCATGAAGGGGCCATAGTTTCCCCACCTCTGCACTAAACATTATTATTTGAGTAGCTGCAAAGGGTTGGATCCTAAATTTTCCCGCCTTCCAGATGCTCTGCCTGTGTTCAAAACAGAGATTCTTATTTCCAGCCTAATCCGCTCCCACCGAAGCCTATTTCCCTGGAGTGATCTTTCGTCATGACTCAGTTCTGTCTCGGGAGCCAAGATTCCACTTAGTTTATTGTTCTGTATTATGGAAGGATCTTTTCTCCCGCTGGGCCAAGTTTTCTCTCCTGTGGATTAGTCACACTGCAGATGAACAAACAAAAGGCTGTCTGGACTAGGGCATTTTACTCTCTTTGCACTTTCCCAGACCGAATTCCTCCACCCCCCCACTTTAATGGCTCATCCATTCCTTCCTCGAGGTCATATGTCCATGGACCTGTTGAGGATCTGGCAGGTTCAGGAAACCCCCTTTGCAAAGCAGACTGTCTGGTGGAAAGCACTGCGCCAATGATGTGATCAAAGCTCCTAACCTTTTTTTTTTTTTTGAGGATCATTGATTGCACAATGGCTGCCGCCATCTTGTTTGTTTTGACTGTATCCTGTGGATACCCATGTAAGAAGCTCAGGAAAATTTGGTCTAGCACAGTGATGGTTAACCTTTTTTGGTGCCAAGTGCCCAAAGTGCGCGCACATGCAAATCTACATGTGCGGGCCAAAGCCCCCCAAATGCAATGCGAGCATCCCTCTGCGCATGCGCCCCCACCCCCTGTGCATGCGACCTGCCCCCCCCACCATTTTGGGCCTGGAAAGCCTCCTGCATCAACCTGGAAGCCAAAACAGGGCACAGGGGGATGTGTGAGCACCCCCTGCACCCCATTTTGGGCCAGGAAAGCCTCCTGAATCAACCTGCACCCCCCTATGCATGTGCCTCCTCCACGCATGCGTGTGTTCGCCCCCCCAAGCGCCCCACCCCCACGCATGCGTGGCAGAGACTTGAAGGCCAGCTGGTTGGCGGGAGGTGCACGCCAGTGGTGAAATCTAAAATTTGTTACTACCAGTTCTGTGGGCGTGGCTTGGTGTGGGGGGGTAATGTTACTGGGTGGCCGTGGCCAATTTTTTTTTTTTTTTACTTTTAAAACCATTTTTTCTACAACTTCTTCGTCGAAGGGGTTGTAAAAAAATGCTTTCAAAAGGCTCTGACGATCCCAGCTGAGTTGCCTGATCGGCAGAGGCTTTTTAAAAAACTCAGCTGGGATCGTCAGAGGCATTTAAAAGAAAAAAAGGTTTTTTTTTCTTTTAAATGCCTTTGATGATCCCAGCTGAGCCACGCGATCACCAGAGGCTTTTTTTTTTTAACTTTTAAAAGCATTTTTTCGGCCGAAGAGGTTGTAGAAAAAATGCTTTTAAAAGTAAAAACAAAAAGCCTCTGATGATTGTGCAGCTCAGCTGGGCATGGTGGGTGGGGCAGGGATTTTTGCTACCGGTTCTCCAAACCACCCGCCTCCATCGCTACCGGATTGGGCGATCCCGTCCGAACTGGGAGTATTTCACCTCTGGCGCACACACATGCGCAGTCGAGCTGTCTTGCCCGCAGAGAGGGCTCTGCATGCCACCTGTGACACACGTGTCATAGGTTCGCCATCACGGGTCTAGCAGTTAAGATGTTGGCCTATGACTTGACCAGGAGGTCATGAGTTCTAGTCCCATTTTAGGCATGAAAAAACTGAGTGGGTGTCTGGGTCAATCTCTCTCTCTCTCTCTTCAACCCACCTTACAGGATTGTTGTGTGGAAAATATTGTCCTAATATAAACAATAATAAAGGCAGGATAAAACAAAAATACATCAATTCCCTCTTTCTGTTTTTCCTCCCTTGGCTAAAGAGCATGAACCAGAAATGAATGTGTTGTCTGATAGGGTTTATCAAAGTTGCGATAAGGCACACCTGGGTAAACCAGGAAGGTCTGGAGACAGATAAGAAACTTAAAAAGCTCTGTAAAGACGTGTCTGTGGGTCACTCTCTCTCTCTCTTCTCTATTAGACACAGTCGCATCTTGTTTGCTGGGAAGGAACGGTGAAAATAACCGTGTGTGTCTTGTGTTTGTGTGAAAGCGCACGTGTTTTCTCCACACACACACACCTGCCCACAAACTCCAGAAAGGGGAAGGGGAAGCTCCGTGCGGGTGGTCGCACTCTTGGAAATAACTTTTGGAAGAAGGGGAGGGGGAGGATCTTTGGATTAATAGGAAAATCCCGAAAGAGGTGCCTTGCTGCGAAAGGGTGGGAGGAATCTGCTCCAGACTCGGTGGGGTAAGCCCCCAAGGCCACGGGGAGCGGCAGCAGGTGCATCTATGGCGGATAGAGAAGCTCCGTTGGGACTCCTGCAGGTGTTGGACTCTGAGTGGTTTTTTTTACCCGGGCCATTAAAACTGGGGGAAGGCTAGGGAGAGGGAGAGAGAGGGGAAGGGGGAGAGAGGGAGAAAGGGAGAGAGAAATAAAGTAAGGGAGGCAGGGAGACGAAGAGGGGGAGAAAGGCAGGGAGAGAGGAAGGGAGGGGGAGAAAGAAGGACGACAGAGAAAGGGAGAGAAATAGAGGAAGGGAGGAAGGGAGAGGGGAAGAAGGAGGGAGAGAGGGAGGGAGTGGGAGAAAGAAAGGGAGGGCAGGAAGAAAGGGGAAGGGGAAGAGAAATAGGGGGAGGGAGAGGGGGAAAGGGGGAGAAAGGGAGGGGGAGAGGGAGGGGAAGAAAGATGGAGGACAGGGAGAAAGGGAGAGAAATAGAGGAAGGGAGGCAGGGCGAGAGGGAAAGGGGGAGAAAGGGAGAGAGGGAGTGGGAGAAAGAAAGGGAGGGCAGAAAGAAAGGGGAAGGGGAAGAGAAATAGGGGGAGGGAGAGGGAGAAAGGGGGAGAAAGGGAGGGGGAGAGGGAGGGGAAGAAAGATGGAGGACAGGGAGAAAGGGAGAGAAATAGAGGAAGGGAGGCAGGGCGAGAGGGAAAGGGGGAGAAAGAAAGGGAGGGCAGGAAGAAAGGGGAAGGGGAAGAGAAATAGGGGGAGGGAGAGGGAGAAAGGGGGAGAAAGGGAGGGGGAGAGGGAGGGGAAGAAAGATGGAGGACAGGGAGAAAGGGAGAGAAATAGAGGAAGGGAGGCAGGGCGAGAGGGAAAGGGGGAAAAAGGGAGAGAGGGAGTGGGAGAAAGAAAGGGAGGGCAGGAAGAAAGGGGAAGGGGAAGAGAAATAGGGGGAGGGAGAGGGAGAAAGGGAGGGGGAGAGGGAGGGGAAGAAAGATGGAGGACAGGGAGAAAGGGAGAGAAATAGAGGAAGGGAGGCAGGGAGAGAGGGAAAGGGCGAGAAAGGGAGAGAGGGAGTGGGAGAAAGAAAGGGAGGGCAGGAAGAAAGGGGAAGGGAAATAGGGGGAGGGAGAGGGAGAAAGGGGGAGAAAGGGAGGGGGAGAGGGAGGGGAAGAAAGATGGAGGACAGGGAGAAAGGGAGGGAGAGGGAGGGGAAGAAAGATGGAGGACAGGGAGAAAGGGAGAGAAATAGAGGAAGGGAGGCAGGGCGAGAGGGAAAGGGGGAGAAAGGGAGAGAGGGAGTGGGAGAAAGAAAGGGAGGGCAGAAAGAAAGGGGAAGGGGAAGAGAAATAGGGGGAGGGAGAGGGAGAAAGGGGGAGAAAGGGAGGGGGAGAGGGAGGGGAAGAAAGATGGAGGACAGGGAGAAAGGGAGAGAAATAGAGGAAGGGAGGCAGGGAGAGAGGGAAAGGGGGAGAAAGGGAGAAAGGGAGAGAGGGAGTGGGAGTGGGAGAAAGAAAGGGAGGGCAGAAAGAAAGGGGAAGGGGAAGAGAAATAGGGGAAGGGAGGCAGGGAGAGGGGGAGGGCGAGAGAGAGCCAGGGAGCCTGGGTCCTGCAGAGTCCTCCTCTCCGTCCTCCGCTCACGTGTGCTGTAATTGTAGTCGGCTCCTGGAGCGACCTCCCTGGATGGCGAGCTACTGGCGCTGTTCGCCCACAATTTCCGCAGCTGGCCCTGGAGTTCGGGGGGCTCCGGCCGAGGAGCGCCGCCGCCGCCTCCCGCAAGCGCAGCAGCAACAGCAGCAGCAGCAGCAGCTGAGAAGGCAGAGACGGCAGGCGCGCTCGGGCGCTCAAGGTGACTTCTGCCCCACCCCGAGCTGGCTGGTGGGTCTGGCCGAGAACTTTACAGCGGGGGTGGGGTGGGGGGTTGAGGGCTTTGGGGAAGGGTCGTTTGGGACCCGCGGATCGGGGGGCGGGGGGGGCGGGAGGGCTTCAGGTCGGAAGGATGCACCTGCTTAAAGTAAGCCTTCCCGGATTGCCGGCTGGGGATGATGGGAGCTGCGATCCAGCGCGCTCCAGGGTGACGGAAGGGTGGCCTTGGGGTCAAGGAGCGAGCTTTTAAACAGAGCTACACTTGGTTCCTGGTTTTGAATTTTGATCCGCAAGGGAGACCTTTGAGAATGGATTATTCTCTCTCTAAAGGTAGTTCACCGGCTGCTGTCTTGGTTTCTTCAGAAACACCCCCAAAAGGAGCCGGAGTATCACTTTCCTTTTAATATTAGATATTTATTTATTAAAGTAATATGCCGCCCATCTTACATATTGAAGCGACTCTGAACGGAATATAGCTCCAGCAGGTGCACTGTGCTTAGGATTCGGCCCCTCTGTGCCAATTCAAATCGGCATTTTAATCTATACACTGGCCTTTTTAAAAAAATATATATATTCCTGGAAAGCTTTTTTTACAGTAGTCAAAACGTTTATTATGCACTAACAGTTTTGGCTGTGCAGTAACTGGGGCTGCTCCTCCGTAGAATATCATCGGATGCATTTTCTGCTGTTTTCCAATTTATTGCAGGTCTAAATAGCAAGGGAAGAGGGAAGGGCTACATTAAGTGTTTTGGTAGTAGTTGTTCAGTTGTGGTAGGAGCTGCATCTCAGGAAAGGGGCAAAACTTGATTATTGTGGTGAATTTGGTGGAATCCCATTCTGGTTTTCAGCTGGATCTTGCAGACAGCGAGAGGTTTGCACTGGGAGAAAAAAAAGCACTTTGCGCATAGTCAGAGGCACTGTTTACTTACATCACGCTAGGCCGGGTGTCGGCAACCTGTGGCTCCAGAGCCGTATGTGGCTCTTTGAGCCCTCTCCTGCGGCTCCCTGCCGATCCGGTTGCACAATTGAGAGAGAGAGAAGGAGGGAGAGAGAGAGGGAGAGGGAGAGGAAAAAGAGAAAAAAACAGAAATGAGAGGGAGGGAGGAGGGAGGGGGGGGACATTTCCCACAGAAAATACCAGGAATCACAAAACCTGGGTAGGCATGGCTGGAGGGGTGTGTGTGTCATGTGACTGGATGGGAGTGACATTGAGTTGGCCACGCCCACCTAGGTTTTGTGGCTCCCGGTGTTTTCTTTTCTGTGGGAAACGGGTCCAAATGGCATTTGAGTGTTTTAAGATTGCAGACCCCTGATCTAGGCTAAAGTTTGCAGTTGAAAACAAACAAGCAAGCAAACAAACAAAGAGGTTGACTAATCCTGGCTCAGGTAAGCAAAACGCTATGCCGTAAAGGGTGTTCCTCTATGAGGTGCCAAAAGTTGTATAGCGTTGTTGTATGATACGGGTGTTTGTGTAATCAAAAGGTACCATTTTAGGAATTAAATTGCAGACCTAAGAACCTAATTGGAATTATTTCCCCACCCCTGCTGCTTGTAATCTTTTTTTAACATGTTTTTAACGAGGTGATTCATGCATGGAATTGGGAGTTTGATTTAATTTAGTCTTGAAGGCATTTTTCTATCTATAGGTTGGGATGTAAACATGCAGCTCGCAACAAATTATGTATTTGCAAACATGCATCTATTCCGGTTAATCTATTATGATGATTAAATGCTATAGATGAAATGCCAAATATAGATTTTTAAAACTTTATTGCTAAATATTAATACATATAGGGTTGCCAGGTCTGCTTCCAAAAAATAGCGGACAAGCGGGGGGGGGGGGGGGGTTAAGTAGTAAAAATTTTTTTTAAAAATTTACAATTAAATTATATATTTTCTTACAAACATTTTAACACGCCATTTTAGGTCAGTCGACACAAGCTACAATACATTTTAAAAATGTGAACTGTACATAATTTTATAATATATTTTTATTTTATTCTCATCATTAATTTTTTCGGAGAATCGAGTTCAATGGATATTCGATCTTTGTCTCATTCTAACTTATGAAAAAAAAGACAAAACGCGATTCTCCTATCCTTATTCTCTTAGACTGTACAGCTTTAGATTACGTACCATTTCATCATAAAGCTTTTGAATAAAAAAAAATGTCCACTATTTTGTGAAAAAAAATAGTGAACATAATGTGAAAAAAGCGGACTGTCCACTCAAATAGTGGACACCTGGCAACCCTATGCATGATGGTAATCAGAAGAAAGAATCAGAACGGGAAATGCTGTCGCTGAGACATTTTCTTCATGATAATTGATGGTGGTTTTAATTTAGTTCAAAATGCATAATCCCTCTAGGGCAGTATTTCTCAACCTTAGCGGCTTTAAGGTGGGTGGGAATTCTGGGTGTTGCAGTCCACACCTTGTAAAGCCACCAAGATTGAGAAAGACTGCTATAGATAATCCTCGACTTCCAATAATTCATTTATTGACTGCTTGAAATTACAGCAGCACTGAAAAAATGTGATTTATGACCAGTCCTCATACTTATGGCTGTGGCAACATCCCCACTGTCATGTGATCAGAATTTGGGCACTAACAACCGGCATGTATTTGTGACAGTTGCAGCATCCCCGGATGATTGTGTGTGATTGCCATTTGTGACCTTCCCAGCCGGCTTCTAAACAAAGAAAGTCAATGGAAGATGCTAGAATCATTTAATGACTGCTTAATTCACTTAACAATAACAATGATTCACTTAACCTTGGCAGATATGGTCATAAAATTGAGTGCTTAACAATAAACTTACTTGGCAACAGAAGTTCTGATCCCAATTATGGTCATGTTGAGGACTACCTGTATAGAGTTGATCACATTGTTTATTGCATGGAAAATGTGCTTGTAAGAAGCCAAAATGTGAGCTTGGCTTTAGTGGGCTATAAGAACTTAGTTGTTTGCATTAGTAAACCATAAGGTGAAGCTAAGAGGGACAGCAATTGTGCCCGATTCCACAGACTGGGATCTGAATTGACGTAGTTCTAGTAGACAACCATTTAAATATGAGCCAGCAGTGTGCAGCAGCAGCCAAAAAAGCCAACACAGTTCTAGGCTGCATAAACAGAGGGATAGAATCAAGATCACGTGAAGTGTTAATACCACTTTATAATGCCTTAGTAAGGCCACACTTAGAATACTGCATTCAGTTTTGGTCGCCACGATGTAAAAAAGATATTGAGACTCTAGAGAGAGTGCAGAGAAAAGCAACAAAGATGATTAGGAGGCTAAAACATATGAAGAACGGTTGGAGGATCTGGATATGTCTAGTTTAATGAAAAGAAGGACTAGGGGAGACATGATAACAATGTTCAAATATCTCAGGGGCTGCCACAAAGAAGACGGAGTCAAGCTATTCTCCAAAGCACCTGAGGACAGGACAAGAAGCAATGGGTGGAAACTAATCAAGGAGAGAAGCAACTTAGAACTAAGGAGAAATTTCCTGACAGTTAGAACAATTAATAAGTGGAACAACTTGCCTGCAGAAGTTGTGAATGCTCCAACACTGGAAGTTTTTAAGAAAATGTTGGATAACCATTTGTCTGAAGTGGTGTAGGGCTTCCTGCCTAAGCAGGGGGTTGGATGTATATGAATCTTCCTTCACTTTTTTCACTCCAGAACTCGCCACCCTATTCTGAGATCTTTCTCTTCACTGATGCATCTGCTAAAGATGCTCACCTGAAGAACAGCGTGGACTCCCTAATTCAGGAAAAGAAGTGCAAGGTCAGCTGGGCCTTTAAAAGTCTTTAATGAAGAGTTTGGACAACCGTTTGTCTAAAATGGTGTAGGGTTTCCTGCTTGGGCAGGCAGTTGGACTGGAAGCGTTCCAGGGTCCCTTCTAACTCTGTTATTCTGTTATTTTATTATTCTATCAAATCAGTCAATGTATACAAGATGATGGTTCCAGGTTCTCGTATTGCTAGTTCCAGAGAATGAAAGGAAAAACACACAATCAGATTCATTGTGGTGGAGCATTGTCTACTATGTGTCAAGGGATAGAGGGAGAGAGACAGAGAGACACAGAGAGAGAAAGAGTGGGAAGGGGAGAGAGAGAGAGAATGAGCACTTTATCAGCTACTTGTTGCAGTTTTACAGTTGGAGTGTTTGTGTGTGTGTGTATTTGTGTGCACGCACTCGTGCTTATGTGCCTTCACTCCTAGAGGCTGTTATCTTGGCCAACCAAACTGACTGCTTTGCCAGCCAAGTTCTCAGAAACAGCCCAGATCTTAACTGTCAACATGCAGGGAGTTTGTGCAAAGTGAGGGAAAGAATTTTTTTTTAAAAAAGTCAAGACAAAGACCCACAAAAAACGAGAGGCGAGATGTTGTGAGATTGGGGAATAAAACTGTTGACATGGGGGTGGGGGGGGACTCTCTGTAGCTTCCACTATCTGACATTGCACTTGTCTAAATCATTCCAGAACAATTTGCTTCTGGCTGGACTTTATTGCTCACTTCTTGTTACGTTGCCCAGACTGGTATGTGTTAAATCCAGGGGGTGGGAGATAAAGGCAAGGAAGCAGACAGACCAGAAATGCTTCAATTTGGTGCAGGTGCCTTTAGCCATTTAGGTCACATGCGTGTCATAAGTTGGGTAGGGCTTGAAGAGTTGACCTTGGAGGCAGAAATCTAATCTTCCAATTGGCTGATTAAACAGAAGAGCCCTCAAATTCAACACAATGGCTTACCCCAGGGGTGAAATCCAGCAGGTTCTGACAGGTTCTGGAGAACCGGGGGAAGAAATTTTGAGTAGTTCGGAGAACCGGCAAATAACAGCTCAGGCTGGCCCCAGAGGGGGGGGGATTAGGATTTTGCAGTATCCTTCCCCTGGAGTAGGGTGGGAATGGGGATTTTGTAGTATCCTTCCCCCAGGAGTGGGGTGGGAATGGAGATTTTGCAGTATCCTTCCCCTGGAGTGGGTTGGGAATGGAGAATTTGCAGTATCCTTCCCTTGCCATGCCCACCAAGCCACACCCACAGAACCGGTAGTAAAAAAATTTGATTTTCACCACTGGCTTACCCCCTCTGATAAACATGATTTCCTATGTTAAATTTGCCTTTATTACTTTATAAGTAACAGCAGCAGCCATGCTTGGATATTCTTTCCTCCTCCTATTTTCCTGTCAACAACCACCCTGTGAGGTGGGTTGGGCTGAGAGAGCAAGAGAGATATGGCCGAAGGTCACCCAGGTGGCCTTCCAGCCTAAAGTGGGACTAGAACTCACAGTCTTCTGATTTCCAGACTAGCATCTTAATCACTACACCAAATTGGCTCTCCAAATTCTTCAGTGATCTACAGTCATTCCTTCCTGCTATTAACAAATGTGGGATGTTGTTTTTCTTTCCTCTCATCTTGCAATGAGCCAGCCTTACCATTAGGGAGACTGAGGCAGAGGATGGTGAAAATGGGAAGAAGGTTTTGGAGGACTGGGATATGAACCAAGTCCAGTGGTGGGCTGCTGCCAGTTCGGGCGAACCGGTAGTTCTGACGATCAGCTGGCCCCGCCCACCCACTCCTGCTCTATCCTGTCTTATATTTCCTTCTTTCTGGCTCAGCTGATTCGTGCAGCACAGCTGATTTCCGTGCCTCCGCTGTTCTACTTACCGGGGCTGCCTTCGAAGGTAAGCAGCTGAGCTTCAGATTGCTGTATTTTAAACGCTGTGTGCAAGTGCGTTAGTTGTGCCTCCGTGCAAAGCACGCGCTCACAGAACCAGTTGTTAAACTGGTTGCAGCCCACCACTGACCAAGTCGAAATGAAACTCAGCTCCTACCCTAGTTGATCTCTACCTCCCTGCCTGGCCTGTATCCAGCCTAAATGTTATATAAGGGGACATCCAAAAATTTGGGGGAAGGTACTTGGTCTCGTTGGTTCTTCTTCTAATTTTAGGGGAACATCTTCTAACTTTACTTGTGTCATTCCCTGCTCTTCTCCCTCAATCTCCACCAAGCTTTACATTTCTCAACTTCAATGGCAATTGACCTGATGAAGAATTCTGTAAACAAAGAGCTTCTTCCAGGGGTGAAATGCTCCCGTTTCAGACCGGATTGCCTGATCCGGTAGTGATGGCGGTGGGTGGTTCGGAGAACTGGTAGCAAAAATCCCTGCCCCCTCCCTTCCCAGCTGAGCCGCACGATCATCAGAGGCTTTTTTTTTACTTGTAAAGCATTTTATCTTCGGCCCAAAAATGCTTTTGAAAGTAAAAAAAAAGCCTCTGATGATCGCGAGGCTCAGCTGGGATCGTCAGAGCCTTTTAAATGCATTTTGCCTACAACCTCTTTGGCTGAAAAATCCCTGCTCCCCTCCCCCTTCCCAGCTGAGTTGCCTGATCGTCAGAGGCTTTTTTTCTTAAAAAAAAAAAACTTTTAAAGGAAAACCAAAAAAAGTTGGCCACGCCCACCCAGTCACATTACCCCCATCCCCACCAAGCCACGCCCACAGAATTGGTAGTAACAAATTTTATATTTCACCACTGGGCTCTTCTAAGAGAAATGAATGCCATAAGGAAAGATATATATACTGCTCAAAAAAATAAAGGGAACACAAGCAGAAGACATCCGAGATCTGAATGAATGAAATAGCCTTATTAAATCTTTGTTCGTTACATACAGTAGTTTATACACTGCTCAAACAACTAAAGGGAACACAAAACTACTGTATGTAATGAACAAAGTATTTAATAAGGCTATTTCATTCATTCAGATCTCGGATGTCTTCTGCTTGTGTTCCCTTTATTTTTTTGAGCAGTGTAGATGAATTGAAGCAGTTGATAATGCTGGTAGATTAGAAAGTCTATGAAATTCCTTATTATAAGATTAAGAGTCCAGATGGTGCTTCATCTAGTCCTTATGATCAATTAGAATTATTATATTCTCGCAAAGGAGTTGATGTCCAGTTGCATCTAAAATTAACCGTTCAACCTGTGTGTCTAAATATGGTTCATCGATGATGCAGTTTTCCATTCTTAAATAAGAGGACTTACTCATAGTCCCATAAAACAGATTAATTATACAACGTGACTGCAGGCTCTTGAGGTCTTGTTTATAAATATAAACCCCATGCAAGGCAGTTTGCAAGACGATTTGCTGGAGCGAAGTTGGTGAGTGATCTGTTCATAGATGGGGACTGCATGGGAATTCTAGGATATATACTTTATGCAATTAAATGAACAAACAATAAATTATTTTCCAGTAGAAGAAGCCTATGAAATGTCCCTTATCTAATAATTTTGCAAAGTGCTTCCTGATCTTCTGGGAGACTTCAGTACGCATTTTGAATTTTAATGTTTCATGAAACATTAATACAAACCTTTATATTTCTACTCTGACCATAAGGACATTCGCTGGAAACTAGTTATTTGATTGTAGTGGTATAAGTTACCAGTAGTTCATCTAACCATTAATTTTTCACGTTGCCCAGAGTCTTTATTTTGGTATATAGTACATTCATGAGCAAAATATGTCCAGGTTTGTTATCTTGCAAAACGTCTGGGCGTGTCATTTTTTTTTTTTTAATTTGATTTATATGCCGCCCTTCTCCGGAGACTCAGGGTGTCTTACAATGAGTTAAGCAATAGCCTTCATACTTTTGTATATTTATACAAAGTGAGCTTATTGCCCCCACAATCTGGGTCCTCATTTCACCTACCTTAGAAAGGATGGAAGGCTGAGTCAACCTTGAGCCTGGTGAGATTCAAACTTGCAGTAATTGCAAGCAGCAGTTCTTAATAACAGTGCTTAGTCCACTGTACTACAGGCTCACTGTTTTGGTCTATCTACCCGATGTGATTATTCAAAAATAGCATTTCCCTTTTCCTGTCCCCATGTGGATCTTAGGAAAGCACAGCCCATCCTTCTTTCATTGTGGAACACTAGTTGACTTTACTATAACTGAAGATTGGTATTTATTTGTGTATACATGATAAAATGCAGTTTCAAAAAAACCGAGAACCAGAACAAGAAAGCCAAATAAACCAAAAGCTTTTCCAAAAGTAGCTTAAAAGAGTTACTATTCTAGCCAACCCTAGGGAAAAAAGTTATTTATTTATTTATTAAATCTATTTGCCTCCCATCCGGGAAGCTATATTTTATCAAAGTTATGTTCTTATGTTTGTTTGTTTGATTGATTGATTGATTGATTGATTGTTCGTTCATTCATCATTCATTCATTCATTCATTCATTCATTCAATTTCTATAGCTGTCCCTCTTAGTCAGTGACTCTGGCTGGCTTACAGTTCAAAAACTACAGCTAGTGCTCAACTTACGACAGTTCATTTAGTGACCATTTGAAGTTGCAGTGGCACTGAAAAAGTGACTTATGACCATTTTTCACACTTATGACCATTGCAGCATCTCCACGGTCATGTGATCAAAATTCAGACTTTTGGCAACTGACTCATACTTATGACGGTTGCAGTGTCCCAGGGTCATGTGAGATCACCTTTTGCAACTTTCTGACAAGCAAAAGTCAATGGGGAAGCCAGATTCACTTAACAACCATTTTACTAACTTAACTGCACTTGATTCACTTAACAAGCGTGGCAAGAAAAGTCATAAAATGGGGCGAAATTCGTTTAACCAGTGTCTCACTGAGCAACAGAAATTTGGGGCTCAATTAAGATTGTAAGTCGAGGACTACCTGTATTCTTATGTTTATTTATTTATTTATTCAATTTCTATAGCCACCTGTCTCAATCAATGATTCGGTGGCTTACAATTTGCACACTATATTACAAATCAAAATGCTAAAAACTTTTTAAAACAATAAAAACAATAGAGATATCCAAAATAAATATACATAGCAGACAGGATACTCGGCCAGTTAGCAAAATAGCCATGAAAGGGGCTCTTAGCACATTCAGTGTCCCGGGCATGGGAACAATAGCAGAACCTTTAAGTATAATCTTTGAAAAATCTTTCAGGACCAGCTCCTTGCTCAACCAATGGTTACTAGCCACAGTCATCCCTATCTTCAAAAAGGGAGACCCCGGCCTAGTTGAAAATTACAGACCAATCTCTTTATGTTGTGTCACCTGCAAAGTCATGGAATCAACCATTAACCAATCCATTACCCTCCACCTAGACAAACAACCTACTCTCCAACAAACGATTTGGTTTCAGAAAAAAAATTATCCTGTAATCTGCAACTACTACACTGCAAAAACATATGGACTACACATCTCAATCAGGGCAAAGCAATAGACACAATTTACCTAGACTTCTGTAAAGCCTTTGATTCAGTGGTACACGACAAACTACTTCTAAAACTAAAATCTTATGGCATTTCTGCATAAATGGATAACTGCTTTCCTGTCAAACAGGCAACAAGTGGTCAAAATAGGAAGCGCTCTATCAAATCCTGTACCTGTTAACAGCGGTGTTCCCCAAGGCAGCGTTTTAGGACCAACACTCTTTATACTTTACAACATAACCAGGTTTTTAAGGCTTCACAAAAGGCTGATAAGATTTGGGGCCATTTTAATCTCCTTCTGTGCCTCAGCATCCGTTCCTCCATTTTGAAGGATAGGGCTCAGCTTTAACCTTCTGCTGTGCTCAGTCATTCTCTGTTCCTTTCTATGGTTGAAATCTCAAGTTGCTTCTCTTGACCAAAGAGAAAACAACATGGTGGGGTGGCCTGCAATGCCTGAGGGAGCAAGGAAGGACTGCGCAACTGACTGTACAATGACAATACAGAAGTGAGGACCTCAGCTCACAGCAATTCTCTTTCTTCTATAGGTTCAGATAAATGTATCCAATATGGACCATCCCTTGGACTGCCTTGGGCATCTCCTGTGGATGCTGATGTTGGTTCATTTGCCACTGCAAGAAGTCCATGGGTTTTTCCCCAACATCTGGTCTCGGACCATGGGCTTCACCTGGGGATCCATCACCCACCAGGACATGACTGAAGATGCAATTCTGAACATCACTCTTCGCCTCTTTTCGGAGATGCCTCACCCTACCAAGGGGAATCGCATCCAAGAAAAGGACTTTAAGGTGAGAGAGAACTGGACGTGGATACCTGAAAGGAACATGAGGTGAAAGGAGCAGAGATATCTGCAGCACAGTGGGACACGTTACAGTCGGGGTGGACAATTAATTTTCCCAAGGGACCACATGAGGAGTTTTATTGTTGAGGAGGGCTGAACCAACAGAGCTGTGAAGATGCATTGAGATGCACACATGCACGTACATAAATTGAAAAAAATAGCGGTAACCTTCAAATTGAAAACAATGCAGTTGTATTGCATGCATGGTGTTCACTTATTTACATTTCCCCCCCCCCTAATTTCCAATTGACCTAATGTTGTGGGACAGGGACAGCCAATGTGCTAGATGTGGCCTGGAGGCCATTAAATGCCCAAATCTGAGTTATAGCAACCCTGTTCCTCAAGGGCCTGGTGGCTCAGCAGACTGATAGCATTGTGATTAACACCAGCTGTCTGCAATTACTGTAAATTCGAATCTCCCCAGGCTCAAGGTTGACCCCAGCCTTCCATCCTTTCTAAGGTAGGTAAATTGAGGACCCAGTTTGTGGGGGCAATAAGCTGACTTTGTATAAATATACAAAAGTATGAAGGCTATTGCTTAACGCATTGTAAGCCGCCCTGAGTCTCCGGAGAAGGGTGGCATATAAATCAAATTTTAAAAAAAAATGACATTCAAATCAAATAACTATTGCGGCCATTAATCAGCAGGAAAAAAAGAGAGGAGAAAATAGGTTTTTTTTAGATATTTTATTTATATATTTTTAATAAACATATTAAAATGTTTAATGTTTAATAAACATAAAAAATCAATGTCTACATGAACAGTATGTTGTCTGAGTACAATTAATTTTGAGAAATAATAGTGATAATATTCATAATATTAATAATTACATAATAATAATATTTGCTTATCCATTTCAATATACCTTCCTTGTATAATTAATCATTATGTTAAGCTTTTCAAATTCTAACTTCTGTTTCTGTTAGCTAGCCATTGATAAAACGCATCCCATGTTAAAAAAATATTTTGTTTCTTCCTTCTTTTTAATTTTAACTGTTAATCTATCCAGAAGAAAATAGTTTTTGAATATCCAGAACATTCAGTAATAAATAAGGAAGAATGATGCACTTAAAAAAATGCTTAAAAGCATCGTTCTTATTAATAAATAATAAGATAATTAGTTAGTAAATTATTAGTTATTATTAGTTAGTTAGTAAAACTTATTAGTAAGTTAGTAAAAGTAACCTGAAATCTAGAGTTATAGAGCCCCTAACAAATCTGAGGAAGGTACAATACAATAGCTGGCATAATAATAATAAAAAAGACCAATGGGTAATGCTGAGACAGAGCCAATCCCTGCTCAAACAAGTTCATTTGCTTTTAATTAGTCTTTGTCTAATTTTGTATGCCACTGCACAGAACCTGGTAATCGTATATGTTATTTTGGAATTAATATCAGAAAGTAAGAATTGCTTGTAGCTCAAATGACATTGTACAAAGCCCTCCTTTATTTACCTGAATTGCAATGCCACCGGGAGGGGGGAATCTTGCTCAGACACCCCCAAAGTGCATCTTGTTCACTGCTTATCAGCAAAAAAAAAAAGAAAAAAAACAGGCATTCTAGCCAGCTCACTTGGTTTTTGCTGCCAATTACCATAATTGCCAATTCCCAGTTGAGGATAGTTCCTTTATCCTTGTAGGTGACAGAGGGTGCTAGTCAGAGGTGGGTTTCAGCAAGTTCTGACCAGTTCTGGAGAACCGGTAGTGGAGATTTTGAGTAGTTCGGACAACCAGTAAATATCACCTCTGACTGGCCCCGCCCCCATCTGTTCTCTATCTCCTGAGTCCCAGCTGATCGGGAGGAAATGGGAATTTTGCATTAACCTTCCCTTGGAGTGGGGTGGGAATGGAGATTTTACAATATCCTTCCACTGCCATGCCCACCAAGCCACGCCCACCAAGCCATGCCCACAGAACCGGTAGTAAAAAGTTTTGAATCCCACCACTAGTGCTGTTACTGATGTTTTCAACTACACAAACAACCCGAATTTATGACATATTCTGCAACAGTCATTCGGGGCAGTCGTTAAGCGAACATGGCAGTTGTTAAGAAAAGCCATTGTTTGCAAGGAGTATCTTTTGCCTGAAACTGGAAGTAGTTTTGCCGGTTTCCAGCAAAACGTTGTAAAACACGGTCGTATGACCGCAGAATGCCACAAACGGCCATAAATGTGGGCTGGTTGCCAAGTGTCCAAAATGAGATCACATGACCCTGAGGGGGCAGTGTCAGAACTTTGAATCAGGGCCATAAGATTTTGGAGGGTTTGTCGGCACCTTGAGTGGCTGCTAATCAAACCGGTCATTAAGCGAGGACTACCTGCCTAATAAAAAACTGAAGAATTGGAAAAAAGGTGGCATTTACAGGAAGAAGCAAGGCTGGGTGTGGAATTCTGGGAATTGAAGTCCACACCTCTTAAACTTGCCATGGTTGAGAAAAATTGGCCCTTCAAATTCAGTCCATCTGTCCAAAGTATGTATTTCAGTTGAAGACCTATCCTTTCATTTCCCCTCAACACACTCTTCCTTCTCTACTTTATGGAGGGGTAGGGAACACAAGGACTTATCTAACATTTTTTTTAATGTTACTTCTCCTCAACAGGACAAGACCCTATTGGCTGATGACATCTTTGCTGCTTTCTATGGTCCTGAGGTGTCCGCCAAGCGTTTCCGTGGAGCCGTCGCAGAAGTGGCCAACGCCAATGCCGCCATGGACTTTGGGAATACGACCCGTGATGAGCCCGTTTTCCACTTCGATTCGGAGCTCATTCACTCTGCCAATAGCTGGCTGTTGCACATTCGCCAAGAGATCCTTCAAGCTGTGCGTTCTGAGCAATATGGCATTGCCCGAAAAAAGCTGGGACAGCTGCTCCATTCCTTGCAGGTATCCACCAAAATGTACCGAATTCAAAATTAAGATAGCAGGGAAGATGGCAGCCTTCTTGGTGGTAGCCCCACTTCTATAGATGTAATGGTCTGTGGGAATATATTTAACGTCAGGGTTCCAAGTAATAGACCCATAGCAAGAAAAACTCTGAGGCAGATGAATTCCTCAAGGAATAGATATTGGAGATACCATATTGGCACAAATCTGGTGAAAACCAACTCTGAAGGTTCCTGCGGTTTTCACCTAACTAAAAGAGAAAGTTTTCTCTGAACTCCAAACAATCAGCCACATGGTCCTATCAAGATGCTGTTTGGTTGCCTGGCAACATCACTCCTTCTTCCACAGTCCAGGTGTGAGAATGTCCTTGGTTCCCAAGAGAAAGTATTTTATTTTGGCTACAAACCCCAGCTATCTCTAATCCCCCTTCCCTATCCTCTATCTTGTATAGGTAGTTCTCGAATTGCAACTGTAATGAAGCCTGCCAATTATGGTCATAAGTCATAACAGTCGTAAAACCATATCTCAGCATGTGGCACCCAGATATACAGGTTAAATACAGTTAGTCCTTGTTTAAGTAACTGAGTTGGGACCAGCAATTCAGTAGTTATGCAAAGTGGTTGCTAAGTGAAACAGCAACTGTGCTTATGATCTTAACTTCAGCTTTCTTATGCTTTAGAGACCTATAAATCATAAAAATTCAGTTTCAGGCAAACCCCCCCCAGCAATAAACGTCCATTGGAGAACCAAGATTCGCTTAACAGTCATGTGATTTGCTTAACAACTGTGGTAAAAAGTAGTCACAAAATCATCTCTGGTGACATATTGATTCTACTTATGACCACATCGATTTATGACCCAAATTCCAGTCCTAACTGTGGTTGTAAATAGAGGACTACTTGTATGTATTAAGAAATGAAGCTATCGAGGTTAGATAGGCCAGAAAAAGAACCATGGTCCATGTGATGGCCTTCCGGGGCCATCAGGAAAATCACCAAGGATCTGTTGATTTGGGAAAAGCCTAGAATTTAAACCTGGACCATATAGGGACTTTGATTTCTGCACCCGCCAAAGGATAAATCTGTGTCTCTGTGGCTTCATTCTTATCCAATGAATAGACTAGCTGAGGCATGTCTGTAAACTTTATGCCAACTATCCCAGTCCTGAATAGGGGATTAAGTATCCAGAGAGACGAGAATGAATAGTTGTGCCTGGGGGAAGCATAACCAATTATGCCCCTCAATTAACTCCCTTATATTGTCTATTATGAATCAGCACGCCCTCATCTTTCTGCCTTTTTTATTTATTTATTTATTTTGTCGAGTACGTATTAGATAATATATATAAGTATAAGCATGAATTGAATACATAAAACGAATACAATTAAAGGGAACATTAGGACAGGGACGGTAGGCACGCTGGTGCTCTTACGCACTCCCCTTACAGATCTCTTAGGAATGGGGTAAGGTCCACGGTAGACAGTCTTAGGTTAAAATTTTGGCAGTTTTGGGATGAAACCACCGAGTCAGGTAGTGCATTCCAGGCATTGACCACTCTGTTGCTGAAGTCATATTTTCTACAATTGAGTTTGGAGTGGTTTACCTTAAATTGGTATCTATTGTGTGCCCGTGTATTGTTGTGGTTGAAGCTGAAGTAATCATTGACAGGTAGGACATTGTAGCAGATAATTTTATGTACTACGCTTAGGTCATACCGAAGGTGGGGTAGTTCTAAGTTTTCTAAGCCCAGAATTTCAAGTCTGGTGACAAAAGGTATTCTGTTTCAAGCAGAGGAGTGGAGGACTCTTCTTGTAAATATTTCTGGACACACTCAATTGTATTAATGTCTGACATGCAGTGCGGGTTCCAGACAGATGAGCTGTATTCGAGAATTGGTCTAGCAAATGTTTTGTGTGCTCTGATTAGTAGTGTAAGATTACAGGAGAAGAACCTACGCAAGATTAGGTTTACAACTCTTAATGCCTTTTTAGTGATGGTGTTACAGTGGGCTTTGGCACTTAGATCATTAGAGATGAGTACTCCAAGGTCCTTGGCAGAGTGAGGGTCATCTACAAGATCATGTCCACTCAGCTTGTATTTTGTGTTCTGGTTCTTTTTGCCAATGTGTAAGACAGAGCATTTGTTGGTTGAGATTTGGAATTGCCAATTGTTTGACCATTCCGACACAAAGTCAAGGTCTTTTTGAAGGGTAGCAGCATTGTCGGCAGTGTTAAATAGTTTTACTTCATCGGCGAAGAGAACACAGTTTCAAATAGTCTTCAATTTTCTGCAAAAACTACGGGTAATCCTTGACTTGCAACCATTCAAAGTTACAACGGCATGGCACTGAAAAAAGTGGTTTAGGACTGGTCCACACACGACTGTCGCAGCATCCCCACAGTCACGTGATCAAAATTCGAACCCTTGGCAACTAACTGTATTTGTAATATTTGCAGCGTCTCGAGATCCTGCGATCACCATCTGTGACCTTCCCAGATGGCTTCCGACACACAAAGTCAAATTCACTTAATGGCCACATGATTCATTTAACAACAGCAACAATTTGCTTATCAACCAAAGATTGTTAAAAATCCAAGCCTGACTTGCTTAATAGCAGATGGAAAATTCTGGCCCCAATTGTAGTTGTAAATTGAGGACTGCCTGTACTGAAATCACACCCAAAAGAGTGAGAAGCTGTACCTGAATTTGCTAACTTTTCAAAATGGAGGATCGAAATCCATAATTTAACAAAATCATAATACGGGAGCTGCTCACCCTCTTTCTTTCTGGCCAGGATTTCTACAGCCACAGTAACTGGGTAGAACTGGGATATGATGGAATACTCCTTGACTTGGTTCAGCCGGGCCGTGAAATTCAGTCTGTCGCTGAAGGTATGGATTGGGTACAATTTTTCTCTTTTACCTGAGTTTGCCTCCACATGAGATATCGTAAGAATAGAATAGAATAGAATAGAATAGAATAGAATAGAATAGAATAGAATAGAATAGAATAGAATAGAATAGAATAGAATAGAATAGAATAACAGAGTTGGAAGGGAACTTGGAGATCTTCTAGTCCAACCCCCTGCTTAGGCAGGAAACCCTACACCACGTCAGACAAATGGTTATCCAATCTCTTCTTAAAAACTTCCAGTGTTGGAGCATCCACAACTTCTGGAGGCAATTGTTCCACTGATTAATTGTTCTAACTGTCAGGAAATTTCTCCTTAGTTCTAGGTTGCTTCTCTCCTTGTTTAGTTTCCACCCATTGCTTCTTGTCCTGCCCTCAAGTGCTTTGGAGAATAACTTGATTCCCTCTTCTTTGTGGCAGCCTCTGAGATAATGGAACCCTGCTATCATGTCTCCCCTAGTCCTTCTTTTCATTAAACTGGACATACCCAGTTCCTGCAACCGTTCTTCATATGTTTTAGCCTCCAGTCCCCTAATCATCTTTGTTGCTCTTCTCTGCACTCTTTCTAGAGCCTCCACATCTTTTTTACATGGTGGAGACCGAAACTGAATGCAGTATTCAAAGTGTGGCTTTAGCAAGGCATTATAAAGTGGTATTAACACTTCACGTGACCTTGCTTCTATCCCTCCGTTTTGTTAGTGGGTATCAGACCCTGATTCACTCAGAGGAGCCTGTTCTCAGCCTGCTGAGAATTTATTTATTTAGCCTTTTGGTTGATTTATTTATTTATTTGGTCAATTTATATAGCCTCCCATCCCAAAAAACAATGATTCAGGGGTGGTGAACAATATTTAAAATAAAAGTTAAAATGATTAGAATCTCAGCTACAAAAATTGAAATACAAAGCTGCCATGAGAAATACAAATAATCCTGGATTTACAAGCATTCGCTTAGTGATCCTTTGAAGTTAACAATGGCACAGAGAATTGATTGATTTAGCACCATTTATTTATTTATTTGGTCAGTTTATATAGCTGCCCATATCAATGAACGATTTGGGGTGGTGAACAATATTTAAAATAAAAGTTAAAAAACAGTTAGAATCGCAGCTACAAAAATTGAAATTCATACCAGCTGAGAGAAATACAGGGAATCCTTGATTTGCAATCCTTGATTCAGTGACCTTGATTGATACCAACAATGGCACTGAAACAAAATTGACTTACAAACAATCCCCACACTTAAGAATGTTGCAGCAACCCCAAGGCCACATGATCGAAACTGAGGGCAGGACAAGAAGCCATGGATGAAAACTAATCAAGGAGAGAAGCAACCTAGAACTGAGGAGAAATTTCCTGACAGTTAGAACAATTAACCAGTGGAACGACTTGCCTCCAGAAGTTCTGAATGCTCCAACACTGGAAGTTTTTAAGAAGGGATTGGACAATGATATAGGGTTTCCTGCCTGAGCAGAGGGATGGACTAGAAGACCTCCAAGATCCCTTCCAACTCTGTTATTCTATATTCTAAAATTCAAGCGCTTGGCAACCAGCATGAATAGCGATAGGAATGGGAATGGGTATGAAAAAGATATGAAAGTATGAAAAAGATCCTAAGTCACCTTTTTCGGTGCTGTTGTAACTTCAAACAGTCACTAGACAAATGGTTGTAAGTTGAGGACTACCTGTATTTCATTGTTGAAATTTTTCACAGACTTCCCGTAAAGCTTAAGAAAAAGATAATACAATGGAATGGAATGGAATGGAATGGAATGGAATGGAATGGAATAGAATAGAATAGAATAGAATAGAATAGAATAGAATAGAATAGAATAGAAGCTGGAAGGGACCTTGGAGGTCTTCTAGTCCAACCCCCTGCTCAGGTAGGAAATCCTATACCATTTCAGACAAATGGTTCAGACAAATGGTTATAATGGTTGTAGGATCACATGATCGCCGTCGACCTCCAAAACTGCCTTGCGACAAGCAAGTCAATGGGGGAAGCTGGATTCACTTAATGACTTCACTTAACAACTGCAGCAATTTGTTTAATAACTGTGGTAAAAAAAGGCTGTAAAATTGGGCACGGGGAAAGTCGGCACGAAGAGGCCTGGTGGTGCAGTGATTGAACTGCAGTATTGCAAGCAAACTCTGCCCACAGTCTGGAGTTCGATCCTGACACGGGGTTCAAGGTTGACTCAGTCTCCCATCCTTCCGTGATTGGTAAACTGAGGATCCAGACTGTTTGGGGTGGGAAGCAAATAATGCTTCTGCATTGTAAACCGCCCAGAGAGTGCCGTAAAGAGCTCCGGAGTGGTATATAAGTTTAAATGCTATTGCTATTGCAAGATTTTGCCAAGGGAAAGAGAGAAAAAAGTGGAACTTGCATTCATTAGTAGTCCATTTTGCTGAGACCGAGGAGGGTCTTGGGACCCCTGCCCTCCTCCCTTTTCTCCTACCCCCCTTTTTTTCATTCCACACTATTTCTCTTGTGCCTTTTCAGCTGGCATCCGGACTTGCCACGATTGCTCTGAATGGACCTGCAAAGGAAATCTCCTGGAGAAGCTTGCTGTTCTCACCACGGGTTACTATGGTTCCCGTCCTGAAAAGCCTATTGGTATGTTTTTGTTGCCAATGGAGTGTGGGGGGGGGGAGGCTCTGTTTGGAAGCCAAGGATAATTTTTTCCCCCTCCCCTTAATACTATCAAAGGCGAAAAGCCTCATTTGTATTCTTCTTGCATCCTTAGAGAGTTGACGCTAAAATCCGTAAGGAGGAGAAAATGAGTTTTGGCACAGCTTCGAGAACTTTTTTTTTTCTCCCAAATGTGTTTCTTTGAGATGTTCTTTTCCATCAGCTGCCTGTTTTATTTATTTGGTGTCCGATATGTGTGTGTGTGTGCGTGAGAGAGAGAGAGAGAGAGAGAGAGCACTCCTGTGGAACTGTGGAGAATGGTAGGGCCTTTTCATAGTTAATTGATGGGGGAATGAATGAATCTTTTCTGCTTTAGGATTTGGAGGGTTGTTATTTTTGTGTGGGTCCTCTGAAGCCTAGTGGAGCCTTCCATATTGTTTCTCTGACAGAGGAAGAGGGGGGGAAAAATAGAATAATGGAAGCCTCCAGCAAAAGAGCTTTCTAGATCGGTCCATAAATAAATCAGTTCCTTTATCAGTCCATCCTGGCCAAAAATTCTCTGATCTCTTTTTTTTTTTAAATGCAAGAAAATCTTTTTTTTTCTTTTGCAAAAAACAGAGTGCAAAACATGTTCTAACATATGCACCTTGCGCAGAATTGCTGAAAAGTTTGGGCTGGTTGGATGAAATTATAGAGCAGAAAGACCCCCATAAAGATATTGTGACAGAGCTCATATTGGTAGGAGACTGGGAGGTTTTAAAAGAACATATCATAAAAACCGTATAAATGGTTGTATGAAAAGCAGAGTATTCCACAGGAATGGTATTATTCCATTATTCCATATCTGCTGAATATAACACCATATTGACAACAGGAAGGGCATCCGGCCAGTAAACACTCAGCTCCATTCAGTTGGCCAGACTCCACCCCGCAAGGGATTATGAGATCATTAAATGGAGATGATGAGGATGATGGTATTATTCCATCCTTCTCCAAATGGTATTATTCTACCCGTCTCCACCTTTGCATCTGAAGATGTTTGGCTGACAGTCTTTTTCCTCCTTCCTTTCTCCTCAGGGAAGTGCAGTCATGGTGGGAGGTTCGATGAGAGCCGCCATCAAGAACCTCGAGGCGGCATCAATAAGGACAGCGCCTCCATGTTCTTCTCGCCTCACCATTACCTGCACCAGAAGGCAGCTAGGCTGGCCCAGGAGGCCTCCATACACTTCCTGGAGAAGATGTGGCGAGAAATAGGGAACAGGCAATTTATGAGGTAATCCGGTCCGTTCTTTTAAGGTTCTTACAGTCACTTATGGATATGGGGATTGGCCGTAGATAGTCCCAGAGGCATTTTTCTGAAGTCTCCAGAATTTCCTCCAACCATTAGTCCTGAAATTAGGTATAGGACAGTGGTGGTATTCAGCAGATTCCATCCGGTTTAGGAAAACCGGTGGTGGTGGTGGGAGGCTCCGCCAACTCACCCGGACGTAATCACGTCCTGTTTTTGATGCTCTGCGCATACGCAGAAGGTCCTGTGCATGCGGGGAGATAGCGTGAACTGGTATTCCACCCCTGGTATAGGACCATTTTACATTGATTTTACACTCCCATTGAGGCAGATTAGAAAGCCTTTAAATTTATATGTTGACCATTTTACAATAGAGCGACTCTAAAGAAATTAAAAGACCATACCTATCTCTTGTGGCAAGCAGCATTGTGTTAAGTGGCTGAAAAGAATTAAGGAACAGCAAACCAAAGAAATTACAGGGACAAATGAGGAAAAGAAGATGAAAAGCAATGCATGAATCAGAGTTTAGTAGAAGCAAGGATAATTGGCAAATTTGCCATATCTTTCCATCTTTGCCAATTATCCTTCTACTGTACACTGATTCATGCATTGCTTTTTGATCTTCTTTAAATTTCTCATCTCTTTTTGAGGCTCTCACATCATGTTTCTCATCTCCTTCTTCACAACCCATTGGCTATTCTGTTATGTGTTTGTTCTGTGTTTTAATTCTCTATTTGCTTTCTCTATGTGACTGAACCACATCAACGTTCCTCTTTCATCCTTGCTTTTGTATGAATCCACATTCTTTCATCGCTCATTCATTTTTGAGCCTTTCTCTTCTCGTTTCATTAAGCATGTTTCTTTCCCATCACATTCAAATTACTTTCTCCTGTCAACCTCAATTTTCATTTACTCATAACAAAGCAAGCAGAAGTGTCCTTTTTATATCCAGTCATCCTGGCTTCTTTAAACAAACACACATTTTCAGTTGTCTTGACAATCATTAATTCCTTATGATAGGCCACATGCTGCCTAATACTCTGAAAAATTTCCCTATCCATCAATTCCATGTAACTGTCAAACAAGGCCCTCTTGATCTACAGGATATTAAATTTCAGATCTCTTCTCTTCCTTGCACTGTACAGTTTAACAGTTGCTGTAAATCAGTAGAGATGACAGCCAACAAGATAGTATTGGCTGAATACAGCAATAGACACTCAATTATACACATGTATGTTCCATTTTAAAATGTAATTTTTATTAATTTTTAATAAGTGTTATCACAAACATATAAAAACAAATGTAAAATAATGAAGAGCAGAAGCGGGAAAGGAAAAAACAGAAGGAAAGAGAGGGAGAGGAGAGAGAAAGAAAGAGAAAAAGAAAGAAAGATGAAAGGAAAGAGAAGAAAAGAAAGAAGAAAGAGAAAGAAAGGAGGGGAAGGAAGAAAGGAAGGAAAAGAAAGAGGGAGGGAGGAGAAAGAAAGAAAGAAGGAAGAATGATGAAAGGAAGAAGGGAGAAAGAAAGGGAGAAAGGAAAAGGAAGGAAAAGGAAGGGAGGGAGGGGAAAGAAAGGAAAAGAAAAAGAAAGGAAGGAAGAAGGAAGGGAGAAAGAGAAAGAAAGAAAAGAAAAAAGAAAGGCGAAAGAAGAAAGGAAGGAAAAGAAAGAGGGAGGGAGGAGAAAGAAAGAGAAAGAGGAAGAAAGAAGGAAGGAAGGAAGAGGAGAAAGAAAGGGAGAAAGAAAAAGGAAGGAAAGAAGAAAAGAAGGAGAGAGAAAGGAAAAGGAAGGAAAAGGAAGGGAGGGAGGGGAAAGAAAGGAAAAGAAAAAGAAAGGAAGGAAGAAGGAAGGGAGAAAGAGAAAGAAAGAAAGAAAAGAAAAAAGAAAGAAAGAAAGGAGGCGAAGGAAGAAAGGAAGGAAAAGAAAGAGGGAGGGAGGAGAAAGAAAGAGAGAGAGGAAGAAAGAATGAAGGAAGGAAGGAAGGAAGAGGGGAGAAAGAAAGGGAGAAAGAAAAAGGAAGGAAAGAAGAAAAGGAGAGAGAAAGGGGAAGGAAGGAAAAGGAAGGGAGGAAGGAAGGGGAAAGAAAGGAAAAGAAAAAGAAAGAAAAAAGGAAGAAAGAAGGGAAAAAGAGAAAGAAAAGAAAAGAAAAAGAGAGAAAGGAAGAGAAGGAAGAAAGGAAGATAAAGGGAGGGAGGAAGGGAGGGAGAGAGGAGAAAGAGAGAAAGAATAAGAAAGAAAAAAGAAAGACCGAAGAAAAGGAGAAAGAAAGAGAGAGAGAGAAAATTTGAAGGATTTGTCCTTGTATGTTTCCAGAGATCCGCACCAGTTCATTACACTAAGCCACACTTAGTTGCATAAAGCACAATTGGTTGTTTTTGCCTAGCCTGGTAAGCTGCAACCCTTATTTTACAGACCAGAAGGACTAAGCTTACTTAACATGCTAAGCCTACATAACATACATAGCACGCTAAGCCGGCCCCAAATAAACCACATTATCGCTTAGCATCATGTATGAATCTGCCCTAAAGAATAATTTATTAAATCACAATTCACACTATTTTGTTCAAAGGTTGCTAGATATCAGCCCAACCACAGGCCTGAGCTTTGTTGTGGACACCACTGGAAGTATGGGGGAAGAGATCAGCGCGGCTAAGTTTCAGGCACGGGAGATCATCGAGCGGCGCCAAGGCACCCCTCAACAACCAGATTTTTACCTCTTAGTGCCTTTCCACGATCCCAGTAAGATTATTGACGTACCGTATTTTTCAGAGTATAAGACACACTTCCCCCCCCCAACACAAAGTGAATGGAAATGTCTGTGCGTATAATACAGCAAATGTTGCCGAAGCCCTGCCCACCCGGCGTCCCCCACCCTTTGGCCTCTGCCTCCCAGCAATTTTTTTTTTTAATTTGATTTATATGCCGCCCTTCTCCAGGGACTCAGGGCGGCTTACAATGCGTTAAGCAATAGCCTTCATACTTTTGTATATTTATACAAAGTCAGCTTATTGCCCCCACAAACTGGGTCCTCAATTTACCTACCTTAGAAAGGATGGAAGGCTGAGTCAACCTTGAGCCTGGCAAGATTCGATCTTACTTTAATTGCAGACAGCTGGTCTTAAATTACAGAGCTCTGTCTGTTGAGCTGTCTGTTGAGCTATCCAGGCTCAATTTGCCTCCTTGCAGCAAACAGCATGATCAGCTTCAGCACAGCCTCATTTAGCATGAGCAGCTGATTGGCAGTTGGATCTGCCTCCCAGAATACCTCCTATCAGCTGTTCCAGGCTGCGGGGATCGCCGCCGCCCATTGCCCCTATCGCTGCCCATCGCTGCTGCCACCTATCGCCGCCTCTGCATGCCCCATGCCCCATTTTCAGCCTCTGCATGGCCTATTTCTGGCCCATTCCAGGAGGCGGGGATAGGCGGTGGCGATGGGCAATGGCTATCCCCACATCCTGGAACAGCTGATAGGAGGTATTCCAGGAGGCAGATCCAACTGCCAATCAGCTGCTCGTGCTAAATGAGGCTGTGCTGAAGCTGACCATGCTGTTTGCTACAAGGAGGCAAATTGCTGGGAGGCAGAAGTAGTTCCCCCCCTTGTTTTCCTCCCCAAAAGCTAGGTGCATCTTATACTTCAAAGTGTCTTATAGTCTGAAAAATACGGTAGTCTCTTTTTTTAGTTGAATTTCATTTTTTATACTGTTTCTTGCTTGTTAACTTTGTCCCCAACTTTACAAAGTAGAATAGTAGAATACAAAGTTAAAAGTGAAGAATACAAAATAAATAAAGCTTAAAATGAGACACGTTGAGACAAATAGGGAATTGCAACTTATATACAAGGTTGACAGAACTTCTGGGTATTTGACCAGAGTCTTTGCTGAATAAAAAACATCTTTCCCTGCTGGAAGAAGGATTTTGGAGATGAGAACAGAACAGAAAGAGGGCTCTGTCCCAATGATCTAAAAACTCAGGGAAGCTCATGTGAGAAAATATTGGGGGGGGGGGAGTTTCTCTGAAAGATTCTAATTCAGTGTTTCTCAGTAAAAACAGTGTAACACCACCAATGGCAATAATATTAATAGCAATAAACCATCGTAAAACATCAGGATAAGCATTGCAATTCTGAAATGGTTTTCTAAAATGTCTTGGAAAATATAACAGTTTTCACCTAGCACTGGATGGTTGTATGTGTGTTTTTCTGCAGAGGACATCCAAGCGATGCTTCGTATACTAAAATACTAAGAAATAATATCAGATGTTTTGAGAATTGGCCATTACTCTCTCTTCCCCCCCTCCCTCTGTCTCTCCCTCTCTTCCTCTTTCTCTCCCTCGGTCTCTCTCGCTTTCTTTTCCTCCTCTCTCTGTCATGCTTTCTCCCTTTCTGCTTTCCCTTTCTCTCTCTCCTTTGGTCTTCTCTGTCCCTTTCCTCTCCCTCTCCCTTTTTCTCTCCCTCTCTCTTTCTCTATCCGTCTCTCCTTTCTCTCTCTCTCTTTTTCCCCCGTCCCTCTTCCTTTCTCTCCCTTTCCACTCTCTTTCTCTTTTTCTCCCTCTCTCCTTCTCTGTCCTTCTCTTTCCTTTCTTTCTCCCTTTCTCTTACTCTGGCCCTCTCTCCCTTTCTTTCTCTCTCCCTCTCTCTCTCTCTTCCTTTCTCTCTCCCTCTCCCTTTCCTTTCCTTTCCCTCTCTCCCTGTTTCTTTCTCTCTCCCTCCCTCCTTTCCCTTTTCCTTTCTCTATCTCTCTCCCCCCATCTCCTTCTCTCTCTTTCTCTTCTAGGTTTTGGACCAGTCAGTAAGACCAGTGACCCTGAAGAATTCTGGAAAGTCTTAAACACCATCAGTCCATTGGGTGGTGGAGATGAACCTGAAATGTGTCTGTCAGCTTTGGAGGTAGTTATTCATGAAACACTCTTTATTGCTGCATAATTTTATAGATTGGAAGTTCTCAAACTGTGATCCATGCAAACTCTATTGAAAAAGCCCAGAGAAAGATTAGAAAAAAACAAAAACAAAATATTGGATCTCCACTTGATTGATGGATTTCTGAGGATGCGATTATTACGCTATTTTGATCAGGACTGGATTATTAAATGCACAGTAAAAAAAGAGAGATTCAATCTAGAAATAAAGAAAAATTTTCTGACAGTGAGAACAATTAATTGATGGAACAACTTGCCTCCTGGAGTTGTGGATGCTCCATCACTCCATCTATTTCAAGAATAGACTGGACTTGTTTGGAATGGTATAAGGCCGTGATGGCAAACCTATGGCACAGGTGCCACAGGTGGCACGCGGAACCATATTGGTGGGCACGCGAGCTCACTCCAGCACACATGCATGCGCCAGCCAGCTGATTTTCGGGCCTTCCGGGGCCACCAGAAGTCAGGAAACACACTGTTTCCGGCCTCCGGAGGGCCTGGGGGGGGGGAAGGCCGTTTTTGCCCTCCCCAGGCTCCTAGAAAGGCTCTGGAGCCTGGGGAGAGCAAAAAACGGGCCTACCATGCCTACCATGACATCGCGTGCCAAAAGTGGGGGGGGAGCATGGGGGGCGCATAGAATTATGGATGTGGGCATGCGTGTGTGTGACCCCACCGCACTCCCCCCGCTTTTGGCACGCGATGGCAAAAAGGTTAGCCATCACTGGTATAAGGTCTCCAGGGGTTGGAGCGCAAAGACCTCTGAGCCTTCCAGTCCAATGATTTAATGGTTCTAAAAATCCTAACTGGATGAGTGTGCCCTTTCCATAGCATAATTCATCTGAAATACCTTTTTCAATAACTGATCAAAGGAGAGATCTTGATTTTTATAATGTTTGGTTGATGATTGATTGATTGTGCCCCTTCAGATTGATGTTGACTGTCAGCAACCACAGAGGTAGGCTTTCTCCAGAATGATCTGCCCCCCCCATCTTGAAGTCTCCCAGTAATGTATCCAACAACACTTTAATGAAGTCCATCTACCTTGCTGCTTGTCGTCCTTTATCTTTTTTTTCTACCAACAATGTCAAGCATATTTTTTTTTAAAAAAAAATATCTGTCACGGTAGCAGCCCTCCAGTATCTCAGGGGCTGCCGCAAAGAAGAGGGAGTCAACCTATTCTCCAAAGCACCAGAAGGCAAGACAAGAAGCAATGGGTGGAAACTAATCAAGGAGAGAAGCAACCTAGAACTAAGAAGAAATTTCCTGACAGTTAGAACAATTAATCAGTGGAACAACTTGCCTCCAGAAGCTGTGAGTGATCCAACACTTGAAGTTTTTAAGAAGAGTTTGGAGAACCATTTGTCTGAAATGGTATAGAGCAGTGATGGCTAAACGTTTTGCCATCACGTGCCAAAAGCACGGGGAGCGCAGGGGGTGATGTCACATGTACGTGCCCACAGCCATAATTCAATGTGCCCCGTCCCCCCACATATGCGCATATGACCCCCCCTCACTCCCCCCGCTTTTGGCACATGATGGCATGGTGGGCCCAGTAGGCCCATTTTTCATCCTCCCCAGGCTCCAGAGGCTTTCTTGGAGCCTGGGGAGGGCGAAAACAGCCTTCCCCACCCTCCAGAGGCCCTCCGGAGGCTGAAAACGGCCCATTTGCCAACTTCCGGTGGGACCAGAAGGCCCGTTTTTCGCTCTCCCCAGGCTCCGGAGGCTTTCTATGATTTTGGGGAGGGCGAAAACAGCCTTCCCCACTCTACGGAGGCCCTCCGGAGGCCGGAAACAGCCCATTTGCTGACTTCCAGTGGGACCAGAAGGCCCGTTTTTCGCTCTCCCGTGGCTCCAGAGGCTTTCTAGGAGCCTGGGGAAAGAGAAAAATGGGCCTTCCCTACCCCCCCCCCCGGAAGCCCTCCGGAGGCCAGAAACAGCCTGTTTCCCAACTTCCGGTGGGCCCGGAAAGCCCGAAAATCAGTTGGCTGGCGCGCACATGCGTGCTGCAGATGGACTAGTGCAACGCTTGCGTGCCCACTAATATGGCTCCGTGTGCCACCTGTGGCACATGTGCCATAGGTTCACCAACACAGGTATAGAGTCTCCTACCTGACCAGTGGGTTGGACTAGAAGACCTCCAAGATCCATTCCAACTGTTATTCTATTCTGATAAATGTCATGTTCAGGGGATGTATATGAATCTTCATTGTCTTTCTCTTTTTTTTCACTTAGCTTGCCCTCCAGAACTCGCCACCCTGTTCTGAGATCTTTGTCTTCACTGATGCATCTGCTAAAGATGCTCACCTGAAGAACAGCGTGGAATCCCTAATTCAGGAAAAGAAGTGCAAGGTCAGCTTTTATCAAACAGTTTCCTTTTGGGGACATTTCTTTCCAGTTGTATAGTATGCCGGTGCAAAATATGCCAGCCTCTTCCTCCCAGCATCCTACTACCTCCAGGCACTGGGGTGTCAGATGCTGTGGCTAAGAAACCAGGCTCCTGGGTTTTTGGTGGTGATAAGGCAGCAGGAGGGAATGATGGTATGTGTGATTGTATCATCACACAAATGTCGCAACTTAGATACTTGCATGAACATTGGGACACAAGTACTGTGTTTCCCTGAAAATAAGACCAGGTCTTATATACACTGCTCAAAAAAATAAAGGGAAGACAAGCAGAAGACATCCGAGATCTGAATGAATGAAGTAGCCTTATTAAATACTTTGTTCATTACATACAGTAGTTTTGTGTTCCCTTTAGTTGTTTGAGCAGTGTATAAACTACTGTATGTAAAGAACAAAGTATTTACTAAGGCTATTTCATTCATTCAGATCTCGGATGTCTTCTGCTTGTCTTCCCTTTATTTTTTTGAGCAGTGTATATATTTTTGGGACCAAAAGACCCATTAGGTCTTATTTTGGGGAGATGCCTTATTTTGTGCCCGGCTGCCTGCTCTCTCTCCCACCATCTGCTTGCCCATGGCTGCAATGGTTTACAGGGCTTCCCAGGGGAGACAAAAGTTTTCACCTGGATTAAGAAATGATGGAGACTTGAAGCTTTGTCTGCTTGCAAATGGGACGCTTGGAAATGGAGCTAATCGCTCCGTTTCAAAGCATCCCATTTGTAAGCAGACAAAGCTTCATCTCCCTCTGGGCTTGGTGGGTGTAGCTTGGTGGGCGTGGCAGGGAAAGGATACTGTAAAATCTCCATTCCCACCCCACTCCAGGGGAAGGATACTGTAAAATCTCCATTCCCGCCCCACTCCAGGTGAAGGATACTGTAAAATCCCCATTTCCTCCTGTTCAGCTGGGACTCGGGAGGCAGAGAATAGATGGGGGCGGGGCCAGTCAGAGGTGGTATTTATCAGTTCTCCGAACTACTCAAAATTTCCACTACCGGTTCGCCAGAACTGGTCAGAACCTGCTGAAACCCACCTCTGCCACCATCTTTTGGCTTGCCCACGGCCGTGTCGGAATCGCCTGCCTCCCCCGTGCCTCTGCCTCCACCTGCTGCCGCGCAAGCCTCCCGTGAATCAAGCAGATGTGCAGCACACACAGATCGCCTATCTCCTCCCCCCACCTCTGCCTTCATGCTCCGACTTATCTGCGCTGCGCCAAAGGACCGGTGGGCTGCTGCTGGACACCGTCAGCCCCCGCTGTTCTGCCCCAGCTTCGGATTCCCAGAGAATGTGACACACACCAAGCTTTCACAAACACTGTTTAATTCCAAACAAACCTCTTTCAAGAATGCAGGCTTCCCGTGCAAAGGGTCCTTATCAAAGTTATTAGGAACAAAGTCTGACAAAGGTTGGCAATCAGCCCAGAAAACCAGATATGAGAAGTCGCGCGCTCTCCAAGATGCTCTGTAGTAATGAGAAGTTGTTTCTAGCAAGAAAGCACTAGCTGCGTGCGACTTAAATAGGCTAAGGGAGTGGCCAATTATCCTCAAGCCCTACTCTCAAGGAGACCTCCTCCTCCTGAGTAGCCACTCCTGCCTTTTGGCAGCCCTGCGTGCCCGAGCATTGAGGAGAGGCTCCTCCACTTCGCTCTCTCCACTGGAAGGAGCCTCTGGAGGTTCTGAAGTCTCTGCCTCTGGCATCACATCCTCTTCGGCCTCCTTGCTGTCCGATGCGAGCGCCGGCTTGCAGGCTGATGGCGCAACACCACACCAGCCTCCTCGTCGTCGTGATCAGCCACGATCCGTGCAAGCCGCTGGCGGGCCACAACACCCGCATGCTCGCCACCTTGTGCTGCCATGTCCATCGCCCCAGGCGTATTTTTGGCGTAGGACTTATATTAGGCCCAGTATTGTTGGCTGGGAAATTCTGGGAGCTGAAGTCCACATAGCTTCAAGTTGCTGAGATTGAAAAAAACTGTATTAGCATATTTGACTCATCATAGTGAGGTTTGCTGCAAATGCTGCTGGTTGGATTTAGGACTGGGAAGAACAGGATTCAAATCCATCCTCAGTTATGGAAGGTCAATGAGAATCTTTCAGCCCCATCTAACCGACAAGAGGGGCGATTGTGGGAAACAAATTGGAGGAGAAGACATATGTCACCTTGAACTCCTAGCAGAAAGGCTGCAGGTAAATCTTATGATAAAATAAAAACCAAAAACAAGAAATACTATTCCAAAATGGTATATCGTGTCCAGAGGTGGGTTTCAGCAGGTTCTGACCAGTTCTGGAGAACCAGTAGCAGAAATTTTGAGTAGACTGACTGGCCCCGTCCCCATCTATTGTCTGCCACCCAAGTCCCAGCTGATCGGGAGGAAATGGGGATTTTGCAGTAACCTTCCCCTGGAGTGGAGATTTTACAGTATCCTTTCCCTGCCACGCCCACCAAGCCACGCCCACCAAGCCATGCCACACCCACCAAGCCACGGCCACAGAACTGGTAGTAAAAATTTTTTAATCCCACCACTGATTGTGTCCCCAGCCACCATTTCCAAACACAACGTTACCATTTTCATGCAAGATCGACCCACATTTCGAAACTCTTTTGATGCAGAATATTTAGAATATTCTGCATTCTGGATCCTAAGCCTGGAATTCTTTCTTTCTCAATATCAGGTGACCTTCCTAATCACAGAGGACCCATCCAAGACTCGAACAAAGCGGGAGACGCTTGCCCCGAACCGATTCGACTTGTACGTTCACTTGGCTGAGAGTTCGGGAGGCCAGATTATATTCACAGACAACGATAATATCCGGCGGATGGCTGAGATTATTGGCGAATCCAGTTTATCTTCGGTAATGGCAAGGTGCATGTGTGTATATGTATACCGTGTTTCCCCAAAAATAAGACCCTGTTTTATATTTTTTTGAACCCCAAAATAAGCGCTTGGCCTTATTTTTGGGGAGGTCTTATTATTTTGGGGCTCATGGAGCAAGATGGGGCTCCTCTTGCCGTCTTACCTGATTTTGCCACCAATAGCCTCCCACCGACCAGTTCGTTCTCACAGGGAGGGACTACTCAGGGTACCGTCAGTCAAATTATGTCGACTGGCGACTCCCAGGGGGAGGGCCTTCTCTGTGGGGGCTCCAACCCTTTGGAATGAACTGCCCCCGGAGATACGGAATATCCCTGATCTCCGTGCTTTCCGCCGTGCCCTCAAGACCCTGATGTTCCAACAGGCAGGGCTAAACATACAAACATGTGAATGATTTTTTAAATGTTATCTAATTCTGGGTTTTATTTAATTGACCAAACTAAGTAATAATTTTAATTAGCAATTTTATGATGTTTGTGTGTCTATATTTTTCTTGACTGTACACCGCCTTGAGTCCTACGGGAGAAAGGCGGTATAGAAATATAATAAATAAATAAATAAATAAATTTCCAGCTCTGCGTTTAAATATTTTCGGGGAGAGCTTATTTTCGGGGCGAGGCTTATTTTAGCGCATGCACTCAAAAGCCCGATTGGGCTTATTATCAGGGGATGTCTTATTTTCAGGGAAACAGGGTACTTAGTAAATCATACAGGTCAGGAATGTAACAAACATAATTGGGACCCCAATTTCTGTTAACAAACAAGGTCATTGGTAAGTGATCTTAGAACCTTTTTTTGCTGTGATTTGCTAAACAAATCACTTCAGTTGTTCAGCTGGCTTCCCCATTGGCTTTTCTTGTCGCAAAATAATGATCACATGACTCTGGGACATTGTAACCATCATAATTACATGCCAGTTGCCAAGCATCACATGACCCATGGGAATGCTGCAACGATCGTAAGTGTGAAAAGCAGTCGTCGGTCACAAGCAACCGTTCTTCATATATGTTTTTGCCTCCAGGCCTTTAATCGTCTTAGTTGCTCTTCTTTGCACTTTTCCCAAAGCCTCAGCATCTTTTTTGTAATGTGGTGACCAAAACTGGATGCAGGATTCCAAGTGTGGTTGGTCGTAAGTCGAGGACTACCTGTATTATATTTTTCTAGGTGACTCTCTTTCGCTACCACAAAGGAAACATCTTGAGACCTAAAGGGACTCAACGCAGGACAAAGAAGCAGGCTCCTCAGTTGGCAAGACACCAGTTCTGGATTGATAGTTTGGTGGACCATGTGGTGGTAACCATCCAAGGCTCTGTGGAATTCTTTGAAATAAGGGATCCTACAGGTAGACATCTATATTCCCTCTTATAGAGATTTGTTTTCATGTTTTAGGTCTTGTACTTTTTTAAAAAAATGCTTTTACACTTGGCATATTGTTTCTTTTTCTTAATTTTGGGGGAATGAATAAATTAACGTTGGATTAACAGTGGGGAGATCAAAATATAGCTTACTCTCGGCCATGGAAGCTCCACAGGGGGCTTTGGGCAATCATTTTTTTCCTCACAGGGTGGTTGGGGAAAAAATAAGAGGAGAAAGCACTATATATTTCACCTCAAGTCCTGTACTGTACAAAAAGGTGAGTTATAGATAGTCATCTACTAATGACCTGTTGCTTAGCAACCATTTGAAGTTAGATATAGACCCTGAAAAAAACTACTTACAATCGGATTCAACGTTTCAGTGGCCATACCCCACCCATTATCACATGATCACATGTTGGGTGCTTGACAATTGGCTCACATTTATGCTCGTTTGCTTCATCCCACAGTCACATGACCACATTTTGGCATTTACTTCCAGTTTGTGGCGAAACCAGACCCAAATGATTTTGCTTAATGATTACAGCATTCATTTTTTGATTGGTGCAAAAAATGCTTTACGATTGCCGAAAGGTCAAAAAAATTAGTCGGTCAAGTGGATGATCTGTTTTATGACCATCGTGACTTACAACCATAATGAGCAGGCTCCATTACCGTCATAAATCAAGGACTATCCATATAGTATCTAACAAATGAATATTTTTTTGTATTCATCAAAATTAAAAAAAAAATACTCCTGGTAACTTACATAGAATAAATAACATAGAATAAATAACACAGTTTAAATATTCACAGCACAGTCAAGAAAACTGACAGTCGGACTTAAAAAATTATAATACTGAACAACACAAGAAAAAACATAAAAGATAATTTAAGAGTTGGAGATAAAAATGAGGCCATGTCAAATCAGGGAAAGGCTCCAACTCTGGAAGTTTTTAAGCAGAGACTGGACAGCCACTTGTCTGAAATGGTATAGTGTTTCCTGCTTGAGCAACTGGTTGGACTAGAAGACCTCGGAGGTCCCTTCCAACTCTATTGTTCTAACCTGATTTTTAGCAGTTTTTGAAAAATTGACAAAAAGGTGGGTTGACCCAATTTTCAAAGAGAGACTGTTTCACAACATCAGCTACTATGGAGAAGCATAGGACATAGAACAACAGAGTTTGAAGGGACCTTGGAGGTCTTATAGTCTAACCCCCTGCTCAAGTAGGAGACGCTATACCAGGGGTCAGCAACCTGTGGCTCTGGAGCCGCATGTGGCTCTTTTATCTCTCTCCTGTGGCTCCCTGTCGCTGGTCGGCTCCACAATTGATAGGGCTTTTGGTTACGGCAGGTAGAGGAAAAAGGACGCTGCGCTAGGCGGAGTCTCTATGGTGGAGGAACTGGACTTCCGGTCGGCTCCAGAATTGAATGGAGGGCTTCTGGTTAGGACCTTTGTGGCTCTTTGAGTGTTTAAGGTTGCCGACCCCTGCACTATACCCTTTCAGACAAGTGGCTGTTCAGTCTCTTTTTAAAAGCCTCCAGTGACGGAGTACCCGCAATTTCCAAAGGCAAGCCATTCCACTGATTTATTGTTCTTCATAACCAGGAAATTTCTCTTTAGTCCTAGGTTGGATCTAACTTTAATGGTCTCAGAAATGAGGAATGCGTAGTAGTTTCTTCCTAAAGTGATCTTATTGATTGGGTCAATTCTGGCTGGTATAGGTGGTCCGGCAGGTTTTATTAGGTGAAAACCAGCACTTGAAATTGAACTTGGAAACCAACCGGTAACCAATGCAGGCCTCCAGAACTGGGTTCACATACTCCTGGGAATCCAGACTACATTCCACTACAACTGTGGAACGCTGCAACCATCCATAAAATGAAATGTGAGGTGTAGGGTGCCCCCATCAGAACTTTGAAATGAGATTGCTTTTGGAGGGTCCATCATAACTTCGAATGGTCACTAAGTGAGCAGTTGTTAAGCGAGGACTACCTATACTTGAGTTTATTCTTAAACACCACTGATGTCCTTCCCACCTTTTTTTTTTGTACAGATAGATTCCAAACTGATGCGACAATTCACGGTCCCTTAGCCAAGATCCAGCACATTGGTGGAATTTATAGAGCATTCCTTTCCACTCCTGTCCATCCTGGGGAATGGACTTTGAAACTTCGGTCCAAAGGGCATTATTCGGTGCACATTCAAGGTGAGAAATGGGTTTAAACTGGGCTCTTTGCTCAGCGGGACCAGTCTTTCCATTAAGCATAGTGACACTGATTTCGGGGTGTAGGTTGTCTCCACTAGGGGTGGGCTGCAGGGGTTCGCAGGGGTTCAGGAGAACCTCTAGCTAAGATGCTGTGCAGTTTGGAGAACCCCCAAATCCCACTCCTGGCTGGCCCCGCCCACCTTGCCCCTCCCAGGAGTCCCCATGTGGCCCATTTTGGATTCAGGTAAGTGCAGGGCACACATGGACGCTCAGGGAGGCTGAAAAATGGGCCTATCGGAAGTTTGGGAAGGCCTCTGGAGCCTTGGGAGGCCATTTTCGCCCTCCTGGAGGCTTGAGGAAAGCCTCCGGAGCCCGGGGAGGGCAAAAATGCCCAACCCTGGTCTCCACTGATATAAAGCTGCAGTAGTCATTTGTCATTCTTAGTGGCCAGGTTCTTTTAACAAGCCAATTTAAAAAATTAAGGGTTGGGGGCAAAAAAAAAGATAGGACAATTGGAGAGTCCTGGTATGTAATGGGGAATGTTTGTTTTGTGTTCTAAAAAAAATGAGTGAAGAAAAGTTAGCATTTTCAGTCTTTAAAAAATTGTATTCTTCAACTCCCTAATCCATTGCTGGTCGTGGCAATAGCAATAGTACTTAGACTTACTGTATATACCACTCCAGAGTGCTTTACAGCACTCTCTGAGCAGTTTACAATGTCAGCATGTTACCCCCCCCCCCAAAAAATCTGGGTCCTTATTTTACTGATCTCAGAAGGATGGAAGGCTGAGTCAACTGGCCCTATCATGATCGAACTCCAGGCTGTGGGGCAGAGTTTGCATGCAATACTGCATTCTAACCACTGCGCCACCAGGGTTCTGGTGGATCTGGTTTTAAACTATCTGAATGTTTCGACAGGTCAGAGCACCCTTGATTTCTTGTATTATTTTGCTGTTCCTGTTGATGGACGTCACCCAGGGTTATTCATGCTGGATAGTCCTCCTGTTGAAGGTAAATATGGAGAGTGTTTCTGTTCAGAAGATCCATGTTTACTTTTACATAAATGAGAGATCTATTGGTAGCCTTCCATTACATATTTGGCAATCATAGCTGATTGTGGTAGAATGAAGTCTGGAGTCCCGGGAAGGAGGGACTGCATTCCAGAGGACCAAGAGACAGCAAACTTTAGATTGTTTGGGAGAATGAGAGTTGAGATAGCTCCTCCGTAGAAATTCTTAGAGCATATGTTTAATGATGCAAGTACCCGTGTTTCCCTGAAAATAAGATCCTGTCTTATATAATTTTTTTTTGCCACCAAAAAAGGCACCAGGTCTTATTTTCGGGGGGGGGGGGTAATGTCATCCGCTGGCTCACCTCACTTGTACGTGTTACCCCCAGCCTCCTTTTCACTGTCAGAGGCCTTCAGGAACTTTTTCTGCGACCAGCAAGGCCAGCAAGGCTTTCCTGAAGGCCTCTGCAGCTGATTGATCCGGAGCTCTGTTATCGGCTGCAGAAGCCTTCAGGAAAACCTTGCTGGCTGAGGATGAAATGAGTCGGCAAGGCAGGTGTCGGGGTGTGTGAGGCCTGGCTGCAACTGTCCGATGGTAAGTAGTAGGGCAGCTCTATCCCCCCATCCCCACCCTTTTTACCCATGTTACCCTGGAGTGGGCGGAGTCTTAATTAGGGCTTATTTTGAGGGTAGGGCTTATATTGGACCGCATGTAAAAATCAAGCTGGGACTTGCTTTCGGAGTAGGTTCAGGGGTAAAATCCAGCAGGTTCTGTAGAACCGGTGGCAGAAATTTTGAGCAGTTCAGAGAACCGGCAAACACCTCCTCTGGCTGGTCCCAGAGTGGGGTGGGAATGGGGATTTTGCAGTATCTTTCTCCTGCCACGCCCACCAAGCCATGCCCACCAAGTCACACCATGCCCACCAAGCCACGCCCACAGAACCGGTAGTAAATAAATTTGAATTTCACCACTGGGTAGGTGGTATTTTTGGGGAAACATGGTAATTTGCCTTAGGATGACAAGATTTTGTCTATAAATGAGTAACAATAAAGAAAACTGTTTACAACTCACTCTGCATGTCTTTCTTGGTTTATGGAGCCTGACACTTATCTCTGAAGACCTGTGATTTTATGGGAAATTATCCCTCAACTTGTACCATCATAACTTAACCTTAGAAATCATGGATCATTTCCTTCTGACATTATGCTTTCAGATGAGGCGTTGATTATTCAGTCAATCCGTCCCAACTTGTTTCTGTCTTTCTCTTCATCAGTGTTCTTTCCTATGCCAGTTCCATCCCCCCCCTCTTTTCAGAAAATAATAATCTCTAAAGCAGAAAATGATGGCTTTTTTTTTTTTTTTTGCACTATGCCTTTTGATTAGTAAGGTTGGCAGATCTCTATGTGGAAGCATTCGTGATCTGCTGCATCTTATTTTCCATCTTAGGCATAGAGACAGCAGTGCTAGAGTGTCGCCTAACCATTATATTCTCACCCTGCTTCCTCCCACCCTTTTGTGTTAATCTGACAAAAGCATCACCCAAAATACAGGCTGATTTGAATATGGGGGAGAAATTTACAGATGTTCATCCCTGTCTCTGCTATGATGCTTTGAGCCTTTACCTCATTGTGGAAGGAAGGAAGAACGATATCAGCACTGTTTGAATTCCCCACCTCAAAAAAATAAAATGTCCATGAATGAATTGCCCCTGTGACTAGGTAGGATAGAGGGGAAGGAAGCTAACCATCAGACTTCAAGAATTTAACTGAGCGGTCAGACGAGGAGAACTAAAATCTCTGCTAGCCTCACATTGCAATAAACAAGAACATACTGTTCTGACTTAGGCTTCCTTAAAAAGCATGAAGCAGAGTCTTGGTCCCGGCAAAACCCCTTTTATTTACACGACTGTGAATTCCTTTCATTCTCAGTCAGCAAGGCTTGGCAAACAGTCTTTCAGAGGAATATTTATCAACACAAACCTTATCTCGCTTGGAAAGCTGCCAGATAACTAGTTTCTAAATGCAGGGCAAGGCAAAACTTGGCCCAGAGTCTCTTAGAGTCATGAACAGAACTTTCCACTCTTGAAACGACTGAATGAAAAAATTATTTCCTGGAAAAGCCCCATTCGCTCCTCTTTTGTTTCTATGGGAGGGGCCAATCACCTCCAAGGTGTGGCTTTACTCCCAAGTCAACCCTGCTTTCTTAGTTATTTTTTATTTCTGGCAGCTCTGTGCATGCACACACTGGGAACAGGCTCCAGCTGTTCTTCTGCCTCACTGCTGTCTAGCCCCCTCTCTGCCTCCAACACAGAGCCGTCGTCCGAGCTTTCCCCAGCCCCCAGGATTGGTCTATGTTCCTTCCCAACCTCCTCACTGTCTGACTCTGCTGGTCGCCAGCGGGCCACAACACATACATTCAACTTTGCAGTTACCAAGATTGTTGGACGAGCAGGCACAAAAACAGCCAGGGAAGTGATTGAAGTCTGGGAAACAGGCCCCTCATCAATCAACAGGAGTGCTGATTTACCCCCAGATTATCAAGTACTTAGGAGGCGGGGGCTTGGCAGCACAAGGAAACAACAGCCAATCACTTTATAGCCAGCCATCAATACCAACGCAATCTACATCTAAAAAGTTACACACGATAGGCACCATAGAAATACCACACAAAGAACAGCCAAAGCACACAGAGAAGTTCCTTGAGGATGGGCTCCAGCACAAGTCCAAAAGCTCAGAAGACAAAACCCCTGGTCCTGGTGACTAACCCAGATTGGATCCTGCAATGTAACATCCAGTTGTTCCTTAGAACTGTCTCCATCTTCAGTCTGAACACACACAAACATACACACACATTCCTTGTTTGAGGATGAAAGGCACATCAGGTTCTTTAGAGATTGGATGTCTGGTACATTTAGCATTTGCTTTCCAACAGGTTTGCCTACCTACCTGGTTGTCATGGTGATTGGTCTGAATCAGACTAAGTCGGGCTCCGTTCAGCTACAGTCGGTGAACTTAGAAGCAAGAACAGGCAGCCTCGGGGAATTAAAACTGCAGAGAAGAGACAGTCGGATGGACTTGTTTGTGGCCGAGCTGCCTCCCACTCTATCAACCACCAAAAGCTTTTCCATAGTGGTACATGGAATGGATGGTGGGGGCCAGAAGTTGGAGAGATCTGCTCCTCAAGTTGCAACTGTCACAGGATCCCTCCTAGAGGTAAGAGGAAAGTTAGAGGTGGAAGATTTGGGGTGTCTACCTGTATTTTACAGCTGTATTTTACAGGTTTCTTCTTTTCCTGCCGTTATTGTACTATTGACATTCTGTTCTGTAGAAGTTAACATTTTTGATAGGTGTTGTGGCTCCGTTGCCTGAGCCTGGGTTATCGACAGATGCAGACTGAGAGTGAGGGGGAGGAGTTGGCAAGGCCTCCCTCTCCAGGACCGTCCTCTCTGGCAATGCCTCCGGAGGACACAGAAGGCCAAACGATAGGCTCAGAGCCAAGCACGTCCCCGCAGCCACAGGTGGACAACGACGAGGAAAATAAGTGCTGGCTGGACCCTTGGCAGAGGCGCAGGGAGAAGCGTGCACAGCAGAGGGGAAGGCGTGCCAGAGATTAGCTGAGTCACTGGACCACACCCCACAGGCTATAAAAGGGAGTGTGGTGGCCATTCGGACTCTGTGACGGACAAAGCTAATCTCTGGCAAGGCACTTTGCACCTTCGGACACAACACCTATTTGCTGTGGACTTAATTACAAACTGGACTATTCAAACTGTGTATTTTTGTCTGTGTTATCGGAGTAAAAGTTTTTGGCAGGCAGCCACGGAGTTGCTGCCAAGTTCCTTATCACTGACGTTGAGTGTTTGAAGAGTTTATTTAACCCTTGGCTGGCTGGTTGGGTGTGTGCGTGGTACGGGGACAGAACAATAGGTGTGTCGGACCGGTTGGCAAGAACTGGTAGTAAAACTGGCAGGAGGCTCCGCCCACTGACCCAGACATCATTATAGGTGATCTGTGCATCCGCGGGCGCGATGCGAACCGGTAGTAAAGGAAAGTAGAACCCACCTCTGGTGTGTGTGTAGATGTATAGGCCTTGACGTATGATTTAAAGAAGTTACAATGGACCCCCACCCAAAGGAGTTCAGAGTGCCAATGGCCATGCTGCCCCGTGGTTGCATGACTGCTTTTGGGGTGCTCGGCAGCCAGCCCACACTTATGGCCATGTGCAGCATCCCGCAATTACTTGACTGGAATTTATGCCCCATAGCTAACAATGGAGTAACATTACAATTGAAATGTTTGCTTAATGATTGCTACAAAAAAGTTGTAAAATTGGGCATGGTCATTTGATGGCCCGCTTTAAAATTGTCTTGATTTACAACCATAATTGCAGGCTCAATTAAGGTCATAAATCGAGGAATACACAAACCAGGGGTGAAATCAAGTAGGTTCTGGAGAACTGGTAGCGGAAATTTCGAGTAGTTCGGAGAACCGGCAAATACCACCTCTGGCTGGTCCCAGAGTGGGGTGGGACTGGAGATTTTGCAATATCTTTCCCCTGGAGTGGGGTGGGAATGGAGATTTTGCAGTATCCCTCCCCTGCCACGCCCACCAAGCCATGCCACGCCCACCAAGCCACGCCCACAGAACCAATAGTAAAAAAAAATTGGATTTCACCACTGACACAAACACACACACATGCATATGCAGTATATACAGACACACACATACGTAAACATGTTTTCTATCCCATGTGGCTATGTATGAATAATGCCACAGATTGTAGCAAATCTGTGGCACCCAAACCAAACAGAATGGAGACAAGAGTTGAAGAACTGGTAGTGGAAATTTTAAGTAGTTAGGAGAACCGGCAAATACCACCTCTGGCTGGCCCCAGAGTATGGAGGGAATGGAGTTTTTGCAATATCCTTCCCCCAGGAGTGGGGAGGGAATGGGGATTTTCCATTATCCTTCCCCTGGAGTGGGGTGGGAATGGAGATTTGGCAGTATCCATTTCCTCCCACGCCCACTAAGCCACGCCTACAGAAGCGGTAGTAAAAAAATTTGGATTTCACCACTGAAACAGCTCCTTAACAAAGGACAAGAGAAATATATTTAAACAATCATGTTAGTTTTTGCATTTTTGCTCCCTAATTCTGTCCCTTCTCAGTACAGTACCTCTGACATGGTTTTCTGTGTTTTTCATGCTGTTTTTCTATTCCTCCACTTTCTGAGGTATTTCCTCTTCAGGACTGGGCTAATATTTTTCTCCTACCATCTAATACGAGTTTTAAAATCTTCTCCTTCAAAATCTCAGTCCCTGATCGGCCTTCCTAGCTAATTAACGTTCATCTGAGCTCTCTTCTGTTTTTAAACTGACCTGCTAACACATCTATCAGCAGATACTTAAGGAATTATCTTTTCAGGGCAATTTCTTTTGTGATGTCTCTCTCTATCTTAGTTCTGTAACTTAAAAATCCTGATTTGTTCCAGCTGAGCAGAGAGACTCCTGTGTTCCCAGGAAGACGGGTTTCCATTTCCTGGAAGGTCACAAATCCTGGTGCACCTAAATATTATGGACTAAAAGTGATCAGTCTTCCCCGAATTCCAGCCGACATCTCTAACGCCAGGTAATTTTTCTAAGTGTTCATGATAAGCAACATTAGAAGTTATTTTTCTTATGTTGAGGGTTGATATATAGTGTTTCCTGCTTGCGTGCCTAGAGTCAAAACCGCTTAAGTTTCAAAATTACTCTGCAGACAAGAATGAAATATTCTGCCCTTTTAATATTTCCTAAAATATTTCATTTTTCTAGGAGAGGGGTGGGTGCTAACTTCCTACAGTATCTAAGATAAAGTTTCAGAGCTCTGCGTAACTCTCTGTCCTTTACGTCTGGCAGGGAAAAAGTGAAGCATAGAAAATAAGGATTCATTTGACCATTCCTCTGTAATAAAGATGAAAACATTTTTTTTTCTGACTTGGAAATGTAATTTTGATTACTCTCTCAAAGGTATGCAATTGATTGCATATATCTTCAGTCATTGCTTTGTCTCTTTTGATAGTTCTTTATATTTCTTCAGAGGAAATGCAATATACTGTATATAAAATTCCAGTTTTTTTCCATCCCATCCCATAACAGACCTGCTCAGCTTAGTTTTAGCACCACCTGTCCTCAAGGCCTGTTCTTGGGACATAAACATACCTTTGCATTCCGGTAAAGCAGTGTTTCTCAACCTTGGCAACTTCAAGATGCAACTTCAAGATGGAATTCAACTCCCAGAATTCCCCAGGCAGAATGCTGTCAGATAAATTCTGGAAGTGGAAGTCCAGACACCTTAAATTTGCAAGGATGAGAAATGCTTTGGTAAAGGGAGCCTTTGACTCACTGATATGGGGCTTAATATAACTCCCAGCATTCTTTTCCCATGCCCACTTTGGATGGAAATTATGGATCAGTAATATCCTAAAGTGCCACAGGCTAGCCATCTTGCTCTTGTAAAGGTGGAGCTGCATCTAGGAGTGTATGCTTAATAGACTAACAGAGTTGGGACCTTGGAGGCAGTGGTGGGTTGCTACCGGTTCGCTCCAGATTGGACGAACTGGTAGCAGCAGCGGTGGGAGGCTTCACCCACCTGGCCGGACATCTCTGCACATGCACAGACGTGTCGTGCCCACGAGCAAACCGGTAACAACCGAACACACTACTGCTTGGAGGTCTTCTAGTCCAACCCCCTGCTCAGGCAGGAAACTCTATACCATTTCATATAAATGGTTGCCCAATCTCTTCTTAAAAACCTCCAATGTTCGAGAATTCACAACTTCTGGAGGCAAGTTGTTCCACTGATTAATTGTTCTCATGGTCAGGAAATTTCTTCTTAATTCTAGGTTGGGTCTCTCTTTGATAAGTTTTCATCCCGTGCTTCTTATCCTGCCTTTAGGTGCTTTGGAAAATAGGTTGACTCCCTCTTCTTTGTGGCAGCCCCTGAGATATTGGAACACTGCTATCATGTCTCCCCTAGTCCTTCTTTTCATAAACTAGACATACCCAGTTCCTGTAATCGTTCTTTGTGTTTTACCCTCCAGCCCTCTAATCCTCTTTGTTGTTCTTCTCTGCACTCTTTCTAGAGTCTCAGCATCTTTTTAATAACATGGCACGAAAACTGGATGCAGTATTCCAAGTGTGGCCTTACGAAGGCATTATAAAGTGGTATTAACACTTCACTTGATCTTGATTCTATCCCTCTGTTAATGCAGCCTAGAACTGCATTGGCTTTTTGGGCAGCTGCAGCACACTGTTGGCTCATATCTAAATGGTTGTCCTCTAGGACTCCAAGATTCCTCTCACAGTTACTACTATTGCTTTTCAGATTGGTATCTCCAGATTCAATTATTTGCTGATACTGAAGGTTTGAGGGAATGTTTCAGATGGTCTATGGAGGCAGGTCCTATCAAGCTATATCCCCGACCCCATTTTTAATGTAAACTAGAGTGTCCAACAATCACCACACTATAAAAAAGAGACTCTAGAAAAAGTGCAGAGGAGAGCAACCAGGATGATTAGGGGACTGGAGACTAAAACATATGAAGAACGGTTACAGGAACTGGGCATGGCTAGTCTAGTGAAGAGAAGGACCAGGGGAGACATGATAGCTGTGTTCCAATATTTGAAGGGCTGCCACAGAGAGGGGGGGGGGTCAAGCTGTTTTCCAAAGCACCTGAAGGCCAGACAAGGAATAATGGATGAAAACTGAACAAGGAGTAATTTAACCTGGAAATAAAGAAAAATTTTCTGACAGTGAGAACAATCAACCAGTGGAACAGCTTTGCCTTTGGAAGTTGTGGAAGCTTCAAGAAGAGATTGGACTCTTGGCCATTTGTCAGACATGGTGTAGGGTCTCCTGCTTGGGTAGGGGGTTGGACTAGATGACCTACAAGGTCCCTTCCAACTCTGTTAATCTGAATCGGAAGTATTGTCATTTTCAATTTTTCTTTCTTGCAGACTGCAGTTAGGCTTCAACCAAACAGGGACAGGACAGATATTCCTGAACATTCCTGATACAGCTCTACCTGGGTCACTGATTACAATAACCTTGCAGGCCAACTCTCTCAACTCCTCTGCAGATCCCGATTTTGCCCATATCGATCTTCTGGTGATGCCTCAACCTCCGGTGAGTCATGCCATGTTGAAGAAGGGAGCTACTTGGATGGTTTGAGAGGTCCTTCATTTCTACCGAAAACAATTTTATGGGATCAGATAGGAGAACCACCTCATGTAGTACTCTGCTTTAAGCAGTGAAGATTAGTAGAGTCTGCGACAGATGTCCAGCTCTGTCCTTAAGGACAGTGAGATGCTGGCCTCTTCTCAGAATCTGCTGCCTTTGGCAACGTCAGATGGAGAATATCCATCTTGTTAGGACATGTTTGATCTGTGCGGTTTGGGTACTTCTTGACTGTAAGGTAAAGGTAAAGGTTCCCCTCGCACATATCTGCTAGTCGTTCCCGACTCTAGGGGGAGGTGCTCATCTCCGTTTCAAAGCCGAAGAGCCAGCACTGTCCGAAGACGTCTCCGTGGTCATGTGGCCAGCATGACTAAACGCCAAAGGCGCACGGAACGCTGTTACCTTCCCACCACAGGTGGTTCCTATTTTTCTACTTGCATTTTTTAATGTGCTTTCGAACTGCTAGGTTGGCAGAAGCTGGGACAAGTAACGGGAGCTCACCCTGTTACGCGGCACTAGGGATTCGAACCACTGAACTGCTGATCTTTCGCTCGACAAGCTCAGCGTCTTAGCCACTGAGCCACTGCGTCCCTATCTTGACTGTAGCAGTTAGCTAAACGAATTAATGTGTGAGTGCCACTCTTAAGTGAGTGGATCCTTCTTGACATCTTGAATTAAATACACAAGGGGTTCTGGAACTAGAACCCACCACATCTGGAGGGCAACAAGTTGGGAAAGATTGATAAACATCTCACTTTTTATAAACATCTAAGATATGGAGCCTAGGGGAATTCACTGGATACCCCACTGGGCTGCATGCATTCTTAAGCAATGCAGTAAACTAGCAATATTTTTTATCGTATGGGCAAGTGGCTTTGAATGACAGTGCAAGCAACTTGCATCTGCTTTTCCCAGGTGTATTATTTAAGACTACAATACTTAAATCCATTGACTGTGCATTGAACACTTGCCAGTCCAATGTTTGATTTATTGCAGGGGTGTCAAACTCTATTTCATTGAAGGCCGCATCAGGATTGTGTTTAACTTTGGGGGGCCGTGATAAGTGTGGCCAGGGGGCATGGCCAGTTCGACATCACTCATGTTGGGGGCACCTGTGGTGGCCAAGTGCTAAGGCAGGACTTCCCTCAGACCCTCCCTCACTCTCATCATAATCTCCTCTCCCTCCTTCCCTCCATTCCTCCCCCCCATTCCTTCCTTCCTTCCTTCCTTCCTTCCTTCCTTCCTTTTCTTCTTTTTCTTCTTTTTCCTTCCCTCTTCATTCTCCCTTTTTCTTCCTTCCCCTTTCCTTATTTTTCCTTCCTTGCTCTCTTCCCATCTTCCCATCTTTTTCTTTGTCGTTCCTCTTTTCCTTTCTCCTTTCCTGTCCCTTCTTGCATGCTCAAGAGGGGAAACATTTCTTCTTTTGTTTTTAGTTTGTTTTGTTAGCCCTCTATCAGTAAAAATGGAGCTTGGGGGGGCCGTGTGCACCCCCCAGGCCCCGTTTTTGGCCACAACAGCCTCCTGCAGCCCTTTGCCGGTGAAAACGGGCCCCCTGCAGCCCTCCCGAGCTCTGTTTTTGCTGACAAAGGCATCGCAGGCTGATCTTTTGCTGTTTCCAGGGCGGTCCCACAGGCCAGATCTAAGCAGCTCACGGGCCTTGAGTTTGTCACCCCTGATCTATTGCAACTTGTCCCTTTCGTTCTTTAATCATAGGTGGAGACCATCTCATCCCCAGTATGCAATGTCACATCTTCAGAGAATTCCTGTGGTCCACCACAGTCCCCTTGTCGCAGCCAACGATGGACAGCCACCTTGCAGATCTGGGACAAAGCTGGCATTCACTCCGTACAGGTGGAAAACGGTCTGGTGCTTCCTCACCAAGCCCATGGGCTGGTGGAAATAGTCACTTACACCTCAGATTGTTGCTCACGGCAGGCGGAACTGGTGGTCACCAACCTTCTTGGGGAGAAATACCGATGCCAAGTTGAAGTAATGCCTCCTGCCCTTCCTGGCAAGACAGTAACCGCACCTCCAGATGATGTTAGGATGGTGGCAGATGCTGCTGGTGCTGCTGATATGGCTGTTGCTCCTTCTTCCATGATCTGGTGGTGGATCTCAACAATCTTGTTGGTCATTGTGTGGCTAGGACCATAAGGCTGCCATTTATGGGAGTAGTTCTCGGTGTTCTGGCTGCCCTCTGCTGGGAAATGATGGCATTTTACCTTATTGGAGAGTGAAGTTACAAAGAGAGGATGGACTGAGCAGGAGAGCAAAATCTAACATTGGATGAGGAAGGAAAGGAAAGGAAGGGAAGGGAAGGGAAGGGAAGGGAAGGGAAGGGAAGGGAAGGAAGGAAGGAAGGAAGGAAGGAAGGAAGGAAGGAAGGAAGGAAGGAAGGAAGGAAGGAAGGAAGTCCTCAAAGGACCATTGTAGGATGTCACATTGGAGTCCTGGTCAGTGTGACGGGAAAGTCACTAAAATTCTCCTACCTGATTGGAAGAGCTGAGCTAGAGAGAGAACACGAATTTTTTTTCTTTAATGGGGTAGTAGAGCATCCATTAACACAATCTTGTGGCTTTTGACCAGGTAGCCAGGACTGTTCATCTATCAGGTGGTGTTTTCTAACTATGAGCTTGCTCTCTACTGTGAGATGGGCTCCTTGAAAAGTTTTTTAACTGGACGTGGTAGGATAGTTGTTCTGATCACTATGCAGAGGATGGGCTTTAGCCCTAGGATGTGATTTCCCAACAGGAATTGTCCAAAGGCCTATGTGGGGCCTGAACCCACAGTCTTGCTGCTAGTAATCACATGCCTTGATGGACAGTACTAGTGTTTGGGGTTGCTAGTCCTACAGGCTAAGCATGCTTACCCCTATCTTTTGGCATCATTCCATTCTGGATGACTCTGCCAAGTGTGCATGGAGTCTGCTGCAATTCTTTCAGCTTCTCCGAATGTCTCTGGTCTTCAGTGTAGGTGTTTACTCCTTTCTGATCATAGGAACATGCTGCCAGTTCCACCTCTTTGCTCTTAACTCCCTAGAAATGGGATTAATTATGTTTTGGAGCTGCTTGTGCTAAAACAGCTGTCAAGAGTGTTTACAGCATGACTACTATTTTGAGACAACCCAGGAGCAAAATACAGGACACAGAGGTTTTGTCATTACAAACAGTGATTTATATACAAGACTTCTATATACAGACGTACACGTGGTAGGCACATACCAAGCAAGCAAGCAATCTTCAACTCTACACGGAGAGCTACAATGCAGATAGAACACGACGAGGAGAGAGATACACGAGGGGAGAGAGAGAGAGACGCCCTCTAATGGCCTCCCTTATATACATAGCTTCTTAAAGCGGCAATATCCCTGCTGACTCATCCTCAGTCTTAAAGGGGCAATAACCCTGCTGACTCATCTTCAGTTCATCATCCTGGTCCACAGCCTTACAACGGCTGGTCAGCTTTAAATCTGCATTACACTGACAACAGCCTTCCCCAACGTGGTCTCTTTGAGGTGCGTTGGAACATGAAAAGAACATAACTAAAAGACACAAGGGGGAAATTTGGGGAAATTTGAAATGAAGGCTCATAGAAGGTAGAAGTTCAACCACAGCATGTTCTGGAAAGCTGGTGGATAATTCCTTGTGGTACACCCCATGCCTAAATGCAGATACATCTCAATGTTTACTCCATAGTGATTGTGCTTTTGATATAGAAATGATTACAGGTAGGTCAATGACACTGTAATGATTAAACTGTGAACAGATAGGCATATACGCTAACATTTACAGAATTTTTACGTAGGCAACCAACATTCTCTGAAGCTGACCTACCTGTAATTCTCTGAAGCGTAGAGAGCATTAATTCAGAATATCTAGAGTGCCACTTTGTAGCATCCTTTAGGAAGAGAATGTTGTAATATTGAAGAGAGAGAATGGTTTGGGTTGTAAAATACGTATCTAAGTGCTAAGGCTAACACTTAAGTGCTACTATTGGTAACCTTCCAGCTTCTCTATATAGAAAAACAGATCCAAGGGGATTCTAGGGAAAAGGTTTTTGAAGTGGATAAAATGTTTTTTTTTTTCCAATTCAGTGAATTTTGAATATTTTTTTCTGGGAGTGAAAAAACACAGCATTGTTTTTATAACTTAGAATAATAGATGTCTATGGAGATTCTCAGCCATCCAGGTCATGGTTGTCCCAAAGGTGCTTTTCCAAGAGGCAATTGGACTTTCTTGCTTTTCTTTGAAGATGTTTCGCTTCTCATCCAAGAAGCTTCTTCATCTCTGACCATTCACCACCATCCATTGAGAGCTGAAGAAGCTTCTTGGATGAGAAGCAAAACGTCTTCAGAGAAAAACCAGAAAGTCCAATTGCCTCTTGAAGAGGCAACCTTTGGGATATAAAATAATAGAGTTGGAAGGGACTTCAGAGGTCTTCTAGTCCAACCCCCCATTCAAGAAGGAGGCCCTATACCATTTCGGACAAATGGTTGTCCAGTTTCTTTTTTAAAGCCTCCAGTGATGGAGCACCCACAACTTCTGAAGGCAATCTATTCCATTGCTTGCTTGCTCTCACCATTAGAAAATTTCTCCTTAGTTCTAGGTTGCTTTTCTCCTTGGTTAGTTTCCATCCATTGTTTCTCATCTTGTGTTTTGGTGCTTTGGAAAATAGTTTGACCCCTCCTCTTTGTAGAAGCCCCTGAGATATTGGAACACTGCTATCATGTCTCCCCTAGTCCTTCTTTTCATTAAACTAGACATCCCCAGTTCCTGCAACTGTTCTTTGTATGTTTTAGCCTCCAGCCCTCTAATCATCTTTGTTACTCTTTTCTGCACTCTTTCTTTACATCTTTAGTATAATATGGTGAATACAGTATTCCAAGGTTTTGTAAAGTGGTACTAATACTTCTCGTGACCTTGACTCTGTCCCTCTATCAATGCAGCCTAGGATTGCATTGACTTTTTTGGTTGCTGCTGCAGACTGTTTTTTTGTGTGTTTTGGCTGCTCCTGCAATAGCAATAGCACTTTGACTTATATACCGCTTCACAGTGCTTTACAGCCCTCTCTAAGCAGTTTAGAGTCAGCCTATTGCCCCCCAACAATCTGGGCCCTCATTTTACTGACCTTGGAAGGATGAAAGGCTGAGTCAACCTTGAGTCGGTCAAGACTCCGTTGTTACATCCCCTAACCCCCACAGCTTCAACCCTACGCACAGTCACTCATGCCCTTGTCACCTCCTGTCTGGACTATTGTAGCTCTCTACATGGGGCTCCCCTTGAGGAGCACTCAGAGGCTCCAACTGGCGCAGAGTGCGGTCGCGCGGGTGGTTATGGGAGCGTCGTGGGGTTCCCATGTAACACCTCTCCTGCGCGAGCTGCACTGGCTCCCGGTGGTCTTCTGGGTGTGCTTCAAGGTTTTGGTTATCACCTTTAGAGCTCTCCATGGCTTAGGATCTGGTTATTTACGGGACCGCTTGCTACCACCAATAGCCTCCCACCGGCCAGTACGCTCCCATAGAGAGGGGCTCCTCCGGGTGCCGTCAGCCAAACAATGTCGACTAGTGGCCCCTAGGGGGAGAGCTTTATCTGTGGGGGCACCTACGATCTGGAACGAGCTCCCCCCGGAGATACGGAGGATCCCGGATCTGCGCACTTCTTTTCCCCTTTTAAATGTAAATTTTAATTTGTTTTTAAATTATTGGGTATTTTAAATTTGTCTCAGCCAAATTATTTAATTCGTTTTTATTCTATTTTAAATTTTTGTATTTATGTGTTTTATTCTGTGGCTGTTCACCGCCCTGAGTCCTTCGGGAGTAGGGCGGTATATAAATCCAATAAAAACAAAACAAACAAAACAAACCTTAAACTGTCTACCGAGGACCTCGCCACATTCCTAAGAGGTCCGTCAAGCGGGGCGTGCATAAGCACACCATCGTGCCTATCGTCCCTGTCCTACTGTCCCCATTTACTTGTATTTATTCCTTGTTTCATGTCCATGTTTATAGTTATATTTTTATCTAGAACATGTTCAACAAATTAAATAAAAAAAAATAAATAAAATAAAGATCAAACTCCTGGCAATCAGCAGAATTAGAGTGCAATACTGCACTCTAACCACTGTGTCACCATGGCTCGGTGCACACACCCCTTTTGATCCTTCTTATCTTCGGAGTAGCCAAAAGAGCTTGTTAATTTAATTGCTTTTCCAGGCCAGAATCCTTGGTGGTTACAGGTAGTGCTTTCATGTGTTGTGCTGGCCTCTCTTTGTATTACTCCATGGCAGAATCTAGGAATAACCTCTTTGGCTTGATTTTTACTATTGGGCTGAATAAAGATGGAATTTTGTGCGTCTTACAAAGTTCTCCTCTTTACACAAGAGCCTCCCAGGTGATGATGGGGCCATCGGTCACAGAATTGTTGCATCTACCGTATTTTTCGGACTATAAGACACTCTGGACTATAAGACGCACCAACCTTTTTTGGAGAAGAAAACAAGAAAAAAACATCTGCCTCTGCCTCCCAGCAATTTTTCTCCTTGCAGCAAACAGCCTGCTTTAGTTTCAGTTTCATTTTCAGCAGAGATTGATTAGCACAAGAAAACAAAAATTTGCCTCCCAGCAATTTGCCTCCTTGCAAATTGAGGCCCGCACAGCAATAGGCAATGGCAATCCCTGCAGCCTGAAACAGCTGAGGGTCGGAAGGCCGATCCAACCGACAATCAGCTGCTTGTGCTAATCAGGCTGTGCTGAAGCTGAAACAGGCTGTTTGCTGCAAGGAGGTAAATTGCTGGGAGGCAGAGGCCAAAGGGTGGGAGCCGGCGGGTGGGCGGGGTTACATTCGGTATATAAGATGCACCCAAATTTTCACCCTCTTTTGAGGGGGGGGGAAGTGCGTCTTATACTCCAAAAAATATGGTAATTATTCACCCAGTCTCTTAACCACTTTGAATCTCCATTAATTTATTCTCTCCAGATATCGTTATTTCACAGAAGTGAAATTATTCATGATGTATATCCATTCCACTGAACCCTGGAGAACCCCTTACACATTCCCATTTCCCTGGTCAATGCACCAAAATTCAAAGATGAGGGGTGGGGGGAACCTGGATGGTGCAAGATCTGGACTAAGAGGAGAGTCAATCCATTATTGTGCTTTGGGAAGGAAGCTAGCAGTCTTCATCCATTAGATCAATGTTTCTCAACCTTGGGAGTTTTTGAAAATGTGTGGACTTCTTTAGAGATTGTTGAGCAGGACTCTGGATCTCAGGCTTCTTCTGTGTTGCTGGTGCTACAAATGAAGTCCTAGAATGCCTTTCTTAAGTTTCTTCTTAGATCTGGCCTTGGATAATTGTGCTCCACAGGCTTTTGCGATCTAACTTTCCCCTTTTCCATGACTGGCTGCTCCAAACTGCCTCTGAACTAAAATCCCCTTTGCCTTTTGATCTTTCTTATCTTTGGAATAGCCGAAAGAGCTTGCTAATTTAATTCAGGGAGCTTTTCCGGGTCAGATTCCTTAATGGTCACAGATAGTCCTTGATATTCAACCCTAATGGAGTCTTAGGGACGTGGTGGCTCAGTGGCTAAGACACTGAGCTTGTCGATTGAAAGGTCAGCAATTCAGCGGTTCGAATCCCTAGTGCTGCGTAACAGGGTGAGCTCCCGTTACTTGTCTCAGCTTCTGCCAACCTAGCAGTTTGAAAGCACATAAAAATGCAAGTAGAAAAATAGGGACCACCTTTGGTGGGAAGGTAACAGCGTTCCATGTGCATTTGGTGTTTAGTTATGACGGCCACATGACCACAGAAACGTCTTTGGACAGCGCTGGCTCTTTGGCTTTGAAACGGAATTGAGCACCACCCTCTAGAGTCGGGAACGACTAGCACATATGTGCGAGGGAAACCTTTCCCTTTACCTTAATGGAGCCTGTCCATTATAGTCAGAAATGTTTGGAAAAACAGGTCGGTCACATGATTGACCTGATTTCGCAATCTTTTTTTTTTTTTTGCTTTGCAGCAATTGTGAAGCAAAGCCAGGCTTTGCGAGTTGCGTAGTTTTGCCAAAAACTGGAAGTTAAGCACCGGTTTTCAGCCAAACTGTGGTAAAGTGTGGTCACGTGACTGTGGGATGTTGCAAACACCTGTAAAGCAACCAAAGTTATGTGACCAGAGAAACTTCAAATCTGGGCCCTAAGTATCCCAGAATAGGTCCATCATAACTTTTAAGTCACTAAACAACCAGTCATAAAAGTCAAGGACTATCTGTTTCTCCACAGGCAACGCCCCTGGAAGTAGAATTCGGCCAGACCTTTCACCCTGAATTTCTTTCAACAGCTCTGAATAAAAAAAAGTAAGCCTTAGACCAGATCCTATTCTGGAATTTTAAAGACTTAATCTAGGTGTTTATGTAGTCTCCAGGTGATGCCTGTTTGCACGAATCCATTCCCGTTCCCCGAAGTCTTTCCTAATAAATATGATCGATATATTTTTTTTTAACCTACTGACAAATCTCTTTATATTTGTATGCAAATTATTTTTTTATTTCCAGATTTTTCTGTTTTAGTTGTACTGTCTATGGCGGGCGTCTTTTGCGAGTATTGAAAATAGAGATTTATGTAAGTGTTGTTTTGGAAATTTGAGCTCAATAAAGTGAATCTCAATTCATTGGCTTCTTTCGTATTTATTGTTCTGCCAGGAATGTTTGCATGAGGGAAGACATGGATCGCTTTGTCATCACCCATTATTCCTTACGCAGCCCTAAGAACCAGTTCAAAGATAGTCCAAGATATGTTAAATGTTTTAATGACACCCTCGGTTCAACAGATTTCAAGAGGTTTACCTCAGAATAAATACAAAATTATTTTTTAAAAGAAAATAATAATAGCTCAATAATTAGGGGGCCTGGGGGAAGGGAAAGGAGAAAGCACTAATACAAGTAATCCTCGACTTAAAACAGCTCATTTAGTGACCAATGTTACAACGGCACTGAAAATTGTGATTTATGACCACTTTTAATGGCATCTCCATGGTCACGTGATCAAAATTCAGACGCTTGGCAACTGACTCACACTTAATGACCGTTGCAGTATCCTGCATCTGTGATCCTCATCTGCGACCTTCTTGACTAGCAAAATCGATGGGGAAGCCAGATTCACTTAACAATAGAAATTTGGGAGAATAACAGAAGTTAAGCGTGACTAACTTAACCGCAGTGGTTCATTTAACCACTGCTGCAAGCAAGGTTGTAAAATGGGGGCAAAACTCGCTTTACCGACGTCTCACTTAACAACAGAAATTTGGGGCTCAATTGTAGTCGTAAGCTGAGGACTATCAGCAATGTGATATTGTACTCTGAACTGGTTTGGGATTTTTCCTCATGCGGTTTATATTCAAGCCAGCAGGGAGTTGACAGCAACTAATGAAGGAGAAATCAACTAGAAAGTTTACCAAGGATTGATTTTAAAATGACTCGCTCAGTGCACTAGGCCCGACAGTGAGACAGGCCAGTGGTGCAGAACGTAGTTTCGATAGGCAAATAATTACCTCTCTTCAGGTACTCAAGTCACCCTGCACAGCGAGAAACCCCATCTTAAAAAGCATGGTTGACAGGTGGCTGTCGGACTTTCAACAAAAAATAATTAATTCCATGCACCAGGAGTTCTCCATGATTTGTCACAGAAAGAATCTAGAGTCTTTGTTCACTTGCACAGCGTGAATAAGCGCTGGTAACTATTTAGTTCTTCCTATGATTTGAGCACCTGCCCACGAGGGAGAAAACCTTCAATTGTCCTTCCCTCTACCGGCATTAAATAATCTTTCTCGCCGTACTTAGACAGCATCTAGTAGTTGGGGATGTCAATAGTGGGTGGTTGTTTTTTTTTAGCTAGGCTCCTCTGGCCATCAGAAGGAAGGAACCTATACCAGTAGTTCTCAACCTGTGGGTCGGGACCCCTTTGGGGGTCGAACGACCCTTTCACAGGGGTCGCCTAAGACCATCCGAAAACACATATTTTCAATGGTTTTAGGAATAATTTTATGGTTGGGGGTCACTACAACATGAGGAACTGTATTAAAGGGTCGCAGCGTTAGGAAGGTTGAGACCCACTGTCCTATACAGTGGTGGGTTGCCCCGGTTCGGATCGGTTCGCAAGAACCGGTAGTAAAACTGGTGGGAGGCCCCGCCCACTACCCTAGATGTCATCATCGGCGATCTGCGCATGCGCAGAAACTTCTGTGCATGTGCAGAAGCAAGGTGTGTGCACGAAGCGAGTGCACATAATCCCGTTGCAAACCGGTAGTAAAGGTAATAAGAACCTACCCCTGATCCTATATAATTCTTTTTCCTTAGTTTCATGACTGTTCTTATTTTATATATATATTGAACTATCTTCCAGGGCTAGCTCCTAATTTCAATCTGCCCAGCACAAAATTTCTAGGACAGACGTGTCAAATTCACGTCATCACGTCAACATCAGGTGATGTATCGGGACTTTTTTTTCCCCCCTTCACTAAACCGGGCGTGGACGTGGTCAGCGTGTGATGCATCCGGCCTGCAGGCCGGGAGTTTGACAACCCTGTTCTAGGAGAATCTAAAGATTTATCCATTTGGGGAAATTGAGGTGGATATAGGCTCACCAAATGCAATTTCTCTGTGGCAGTGCCAGTACTTTGCAATACATTTCTCTGCAAATCTCAAGCAGCCCTCTTCACATTAGGTTTTAGGAAGTTATTAGAAAGACAACTGTCTAAGAGGAATTTTGTGTTTGAATGCAAGCTATTAATTCACTGTCAATTTTATTTCTTCTCCTTGGAACTCAGGTTTTAAGACACAAATCTTGTGGTTTTAGTTTTTAAACACTTATTTTTGAGCGTACCCTGGATCAGTGGTGGGTTGCCCCCGGTTCACAGCGGTTCGCAAGAACTGGTAGTAAAACCAGCGGGAGGCCCCGCCCACTGCCCCGGATGTCATCATCGGCGATCTGCGCATGCACAGAAGCAAGGCGCACGCGCTTGCTTCGCACACACAATCCCGTTGTGAACTGGTAGTAAAGGTAAGTAGAACCCACCCCTGCCCTGGATGCAGTGGTGGGATTCAGCCAGTTCTCACTACTTCGGGAGAACCGGTTGTTAACTTTCTGAGCAGTTTGGCGAACTGGTTGTTGGAAGAAATTATTAAGGCAGAGAACCGGTTGTTAAATTACTTGAATCCCACCACTGCCTGGATATTTTATTGCAAATTATTGATTATGACCCTTTTTTTTTTTAATTTGATTTATATGCCGCCCTTCTCCGGAGTCTCAGGGCGGCTTACAATGTGTTAAGCAATAGCCTTCATACTTTTGTATATTTATACAAAGTCAGCTTATTGCCCCCACAAACTGGGTCCTCATTTCACCTACCTTAGAAAGGATGGAAGGCTGAGTCAACCTTGAGCCTGGTAAGATTCGAACCTGCAGTTGCAGGCAGCTGTGTTAATAACAGGGTGCGTAGACCACTGTACTATCAAGGCTCTTTGAGGGTCACAGCACATTGCTGTGGGCTAAATCCAAATAAATAATCAAATAAACTTTAGAAGCTCATGAGAAAGGAATTGTTTCAAGAACAAAAGAATAAAAGAAGGAAGAAAGTAATAGAAAAATTATCAAATGGAATCCGGAAAGCAGAAAATGATGAAACTGTAAACATACCTAAATGCAGGATTGATCTAGAATAGTGTTTCTCAATTTTGGCACCTTCAAGATGTGTGAGTCCCAGAATTCCCCAGCCAACACGCTGGGTTGAAATCCATCCATCTTAAAACTGCCAAGTGTTAAAAAATACTGATCTAGAAGCATTTGGATTCTAGAAACAATATTCCAAAATGTGGAAAGGAAATACAGCTAACACAGACTATTGTAGGCCATACTTCATAGTCCTCTTTTTTAAGCCATAAATATCTCTTGGTTTCATTTTCCTTAGCTACAGGAAAGTAATACTGTAGTCACTCACTCCGCCCCACTCCAGTATTAAATACAAAACTGAAGAACAGAACTATGGCTAGATATTGGCAAGTTATATCAAAGGAGAGATTGCAAAATGTGTAAACCAAGATCATCGACATATTTGGTCTCTGAATGAAAAGGCCTTTGATGAGTACTGTAAGTGCTCTTTTTCTGGGTTGGAAAAAAATAATAATACAGAGGGAAGTTACTTCAGCACAGGTATCCTAGGGAAAAATGTACTGCCATGACGTGAATTCTGGGCTCCTGAACCTCTGATCCAGAGCTACAGAGTTCAAAGTCCTGAAGCTGTTGTAAGAGAAGGTTTTCAACCTCATAGCTGAAGTAAGAATCTGAAACATATCGGAACACAGGAGAGCAAGAAACCAAGCAGTTGTGAGCTTTGTCTTGGTTGCACCTTTAGTTCATCTCCTGATCCATTCCCTTCCACTGACTATTTTTCATGAACCTCAAGAGCCTCATGTTTACCTGTCCCATTCTAACAATCGCCAACCATCTCAAGATGTTTCTTCAACAAACCTGGTCCTCTGCAGATAGAGGACAAACAGGAACAGGAATGCTGTTGGTCTCTTTCCTAACAAAAGACTTGACGTGATCCATTGTTTGGAGTCCCAAAAGAAAGTGATGTCCCAAGCATGGCCAACTGAAGCAGAAGCGTCATAGAGTTTATAGTCACCCATCCTTGAGTTTCTTGTCAGATGAAGGTGAACTCCTTGTGGCTGGGGAGTTTATAACCCCAGCTCTCCTTCAGCTGCTTGCAAAGGGATGCTTTTTCTTCTTCCAGTTGCGCAATGCGGTGGCATTTTTGGGACACCTCCTGTTAACCAAGTAGACATCAATGATTATGACACGAGTAGCATGATTTCTTCTTTCATCTGACATATTTAGATCCTTCCTGCTCTTGGAAGGAGCTTGTGGTTGCTTACTTCCCAATTCAAGAGGTCCCCTTGACTTCCTTTGGGGCCATGTTACTGAACAACAGTGGTGGGATTCAGTCAATTCAAGAGAACCGGTAGTTACATTTTGGTTCCCAGGTAAGTGCAGGGAGGCCTATTAGGCCCAAAACGGGGCATGGGGGGGGGGGTAGGGTTAGGGTACAGCCCCCCCCGGTGGACCGTTTTCACCCCCAGGAGGCTTCAGGGAGGCCTCCTAGGCCCAAAATGGGGCATGGGGGGAGCGGTGCACACACACACACACACATGGCCCGTTTTCGCTCCCAGGAGGCTGCAGGGAGGCCTACTAGGCCCAAAATGGGGCACAGGGGGGCACGTCCCCTCTGTGGCCCATTTTTGCTCCCAGGGGGGTGCAGGAGGCCGAGTACTGCCTGTCACACATCCCTGGCCACGCCCACCATGGCCACGCCCACCCAGCTGGTCATTAGGGCAGAGAACTGGTTGTTAAATTATTTGAACCCCACCACAGCTGAGCAACCAAAGATGGAGAAACATTGGTCCTTCCAGAATTGATGTACTCCAACTCCCATCAATCTTACACAGCTGGTAAAATTGGAGGAGGAGGATGGGAACGACAGTTTAGGAGCATCTGGAGGGCCACAAATCTTCCCCCCTCTACTATGTTTTCATACCACGATGTGTGAGAGGGGAAAGAGAATGGAGTGCAATCTTTGTTGCATGTTGGTGGCGCAGTGGTTAGAATGCAGCTCTGCAGGCTAATTCTGCTGACTGCCGGCTGACTGCAATTTGGCAGATCGATTCTCACCAGGCTCCATCCTTCCATCCTTCCGAGGTGTGTAAAATGAGGACCCAGATTGTTGGGAGGCAATATGCTGACTCTATAAACTGCTTAGAGAGTGCTGTAAAGCCCTGTGAAGCAGTATATAAGTCTAAGTGCTATTGATATTGCTATTTATCTTTTCAACTACATCAGAAGGCCCCACTGAGGCTCATGCAATTATTTGTGTTTTTGTATAAAGATTATATTTTTTAAAAAATGAATCTTGCCAGAGGACCTCACAAAACAATCTCACATAATAGATGCAAGCTGAATTTTTAAATACTGCAAACAATCAGAATCTATTTGTTTATTATGGACTATAGGTAGTCCTTGACTTACAGCTATTAATTTTACAGCAAATTAATTGTTACCCATGAACTACCCATGTTCAAACACACACACACACCTACCTATCATGGATTCCAATACAAAATGCAGGATAGCCAGTTGAGTGGTTCAAACTTAATCAGTTTGAACCACTCAACTGTTTATCGTTTATAAACGGTTTATAAAAATTGATATAGAGTAGAATAGAATAACAGAGTTGGAAGGGACCTTGGAGGTCTTCTAGTCCAACCCCCTGCCCAGGCAGGAAACCCTACACCACTTCAGACAAATGGTTATCCAACATCTTCTTAAAAAATTCCAGTGTTGGGGCATTCACAACTTCTGCAGGCAAGTTGTTCCATTTATTAATTGTTCTAACTGTCAGGAAATTTCTACTTAGTTCTAAATTGCTTCTCTCCTTGATTAGTTTCCACACATTGCTTCTTGTTCTGCCCTCAGGTGCTTTGAAGAATAATTTGACTCCCTCTTCTTTGTGGCAACCCCTGAGATATTGGAACATTGCTATCATGTCTCCCCTAGTCCTTCTCTTCATTAAAGTAGACATACCCAGTTCCTGCAACCGTTCTTCATATGTTTTAGCCTCCAGTCCCCTAATCATCTTTGTTGCTCTTCTCTGCACTCTTTCTAGAGTCTCCACATCTTTTTTACATCGTGGTGACCAAAACTGCATGCAATATCCCAAGTGTGGCCTTACCAAGGCATTATAAAGTGGTATAAACACTTCACGTGATCTTGATTCTATCCCTCTGTTTATGCAGCCCAGAACTGTGTTGGCTTTTTTGGCAGCTGCTGCACACTGCTGGCTCATATCTAAATGGTTGTCCACTAAGATCCCTCTCACAGTTACTACTATTGAGCAAGGTACCATATTTCAAAGGCAAATCATATTACAGGGGAAGAATAGATTGTCTGAACTGAACCTATAAATGGTTTTCAAGGAACAGTTATGATAAGGGGAGATATTAAATTCTACCTGCTATTGACAGATTATTTAATATTACAGTCCATCAAAGATTTCTCAATAGGTTAAAATTTGCTTTCTCCTAACTGTTCCAGATGGTGGAAAAGTTCTATTTTCTCTTAGGGGAAAATAAGCAACAACCAAAAATTCAAATAAAAAATAAAATAAAATAAAATAAAAAATAAAATAAAATAATAATAAAATAAAATTAAAATAAAAATAAAAATAAAATTAAAATAAAATAATAAAATTAAAATAAAATAATAAAATAAAATAAAATAATAATGATCCATAACAGTTCTTCCATTGTTAGATTTATTCACAGCATGCCAAAAAGTCCTTGTTCATTTACCAAAGAAGAACTATCCTTAATTCTCAAACCCTTAGAAGTGAATTACTGAGTCAGGTAATTAATACTGTACAATAATAATACCCTTTAATACTGGACGAAGTGTTTGTCCTAAAACCCACAAGCACACTTTCTTTGTGGGACAGTCCTGGATCCCTGGATACCACTTCTAGTAGATCAATCTGGCACCTTAGAAATGTCCCAAAGGAGCTTCTTCCAAAAGGCAATTGGACTTCCTTGGTTTTTTTTCCCCTTGAAAACAGTTCACTTCTCATCCAAAAAGCTTCTTCAGTAACTGAACTGAAGAAGCTTGTTGAAAGAGAAGTGAAACATTTTCAAAGAAAAAAAACCAAGGAAGTCCAGTAGCTTTTTGAAAAAAGCATCTTTGGGACAACCATGACGTGGATGATTGAGAATCTCCATAGACAAATACAATTTGTACAATTTAACTCAAAAGGAGATCAGTCAGCTCTGGTAGTTTACCTTCGTCAACAGGTGATTCTGCTCCTTTAGCACAACGATGGCTTGCTGGTGAAATGGATTTTCCGGAGAGGAACAGGGAACCTCCCAATTTTTGAGTGGCACTTCAGTCTGCAAAGAAGAGGGGTGCAAAAAAAATATTTATTTATTTATTTATTCAACTTATATACCGCCCTTCTCCCCAGGGGGACTCAGGGCGGTGGACAGCCAAACTTAAAACACATATAGTACAAAAGTTAAGAAAAAACTAAAATAAATTAAATCATCGGCATTTCCAATTTAAAATCCCAGATCTGCAAAATCGAAAAGTTCCCAATTTAAAACCCAGAATCAATAAAATTGAAAATTTAAAAACCCCATTAAAACCATTTAAGCTAGGCCAGCTTGTTGGAATAAATAAGTCTTCAGGGCCTTTCAGAAAGCGCGGAGGTCTGGGATCAGTCGTATTCCAGGAGGTAGCTCATTCCACAGGTTGGGTGCCCCCACAGAGAAGGCTCTCCCCCTGGGGGCCGCCAGCCGACATTGCTTGGCCAACGGCACCCTGAGGAGGCCCTCTCTGTGCAAGCGTACTGGCCGGTGGGAGGTTATCGGTAGCAGCAGGTGGTCTCGCAGGTATCCCGGCCCTATGCCATGGAGCGCTTTAAAGGTGAGAACCAACAACTTGAAGCGCAAAAAATATCACAATTTATGTGTGACTCATCACCACACTTGTATCTAGCATGAGCAACTGCTGTTTTGCTGGCCAAATTCTTACTGCAAATATCTATTCAGGAGAAACCACGACCCTATTCATATGTTTGCAAAAAGTTCTAAGAACATGGTATAATTAAAATGTCATTGGGAGCCATCCAGAGTTGGCTGGAAAGATGGGCAGCTGGGGACATTGTGCAGGTCATAAATGAGAAGACCAGTCATAAAGTTACTTATTCAGCGCCATCGTAACTTCAAACGGTCACTAAAAAGATGCTTGGTAAGTGAGTATTTGACATCTGGCATGTACTATAGGTCTGCCTTGACTACCAATCACTAAAATTCTGAACCGTATGATGAACAGTTGTGTAAACTAGATAAGTCTAGTCTAATGAAGAGAAGGACTTGGGATGACATGATATTATTCTCCCAATATTTGAGAGGCTGTCACAGAAAAGAGGGAATCAAGTTATTCTCCTCATCCCCTGAGGGCAGGACAAAAAGTAATGGATGAAAACTTACCAAGGAGAGAAGCAACCTAGAATTAAGGAGAAATTTCCTGATAGTGAGAACAATTAACCAGTGTAATGGTTTACCTCCAGAAGTTGTAAGTGCTCCATCACTGGAATTTTCCAAAGATAGATCAAACAACCATTTGGCCTGGATAGTATAAGGTCTCCTGCCTTGAGCAGTGGGTTGGACTAGAAGACCTCCAAGGTCCTTCAAAATCTGTAACAGGTATTCCTAGATTCCGAGACATTTGTCAAGTGAGTTTTGCCTCATTTTATGACCTTTCTTGCCACGGTTGTTAAGTGAATCACTAACATTCTTAAGTGTGTAACGTGGTTGTTAAATGAATCTGGCTCCTCCATTGACTTTGCTGGTCAGATGGTCGCAAAAGATGATTGATTGATTGATTGATTGATTGATTGATTGATTGATTGATTTATAAATTTGTATACCGCCTTTCTCCCTGAGGACTCAGGGCGGTGAACAGCTGAGTAAAAGCATAAACTACAAACATTAAAATAAAATTAAAAAGATATATATAAATTTGGCCCCATGATTAAAAACAATAACAAACAATTAAAAACATTTTAAAAAGTATTAGGCCAGCCCGGCTTACTGGAAAAAGAAGGTTTTAAGGGCACGGCGGAAGGCACCGAGATCACATGACCCCAGGACTCTGCAACTGTCATAAATATGAAGCCAAGCATCTGAATTTTGATCACATGACTGTAGAGATGCTGCAGTGGTAATAAGTGTGAAAAATGGTCGTAGGTCTCTTTTTTTAGTGCCATTGTAACTTTGAATGATCACTAAGCAAACGGTTGTAAATTGAGGACTACCTGTATTCTGTATTCGCTAATCCCACCCCCTTCAGGCCTACTGACCTTTCCAGAAGAAGTGAGTAAATTTTTCAAGCACAGGTTGACTTCCTGGATCTTGGCCAGCAGCAGGCAGCTCTGCTTAGAGTAAGAATCTCGACAATCATTCTGCAAAACAGAGCAATTAAGTCTCAAAACTGGAAATCCAATGTGTATCCCAAACATTCCAGTTCAAGAAATAAGGAACAAGAGAATTTCTTGCATTTTAAGGCATCAACCACTACAGGTAGTCCTCGATTTATGATAGCAATTGAGCCCAAAATCTATGTTGTTGAGTGAGACAATTGTTCAGTGAGTTTTGCCCCATTTTACGACCTTTCTTGCCGTAGTTGTTAAGTGAATTGTTGCAGTTGATAAATTAGTTGGTGCTGCTTTCTAAAACCCTAGTAAGACCACACCTGCAACCAATTTTGGTCACCATACTAGAAAAAAAGACGTGGAGACTTTGGAAAAAGTTCAGAGAAGAGCAACTAAGATGATCAAAGGCCTGGAGATTAAAACATATGAAGATCGGCTGCAGGATTTGGGTTTGGCTAGTCTAGAGAAAAGAAGAAGAAATTAATCCCAGAGAGAGGCAACCTGGAATTAAGGAAAAACTTCCTAACAGTGAGAACAATTAACCAGTGGAACAGCTTTGCCTTCAGAAATCATGGGCACTTCATAACTGGAAGTTTTTAAGAAGAGACTGAACAATCACTTGTCTCAAATGGTATAGGTTCTCCTCCTTCAGCGGGGGGCTGGACTAGAAGATCTCCAAGGTCCCTTCCAGCTTTATTCCATTCCATTCCATTCCATTTTAGTGACATATTGTTACGTGAATCTGGCTTCCCTATTGACTTTGCTTGTCAGAAGGTTGCAAAAGGCGTCAGAAGGTTGCAAAAGATTGCAAAAAGTCCCAATGGCTTTGAGACACAGCAACGGTCGTAAGTATGAACCAGTTGCCAAGCATCTGAATTTTGATCACATGATCACGGGGATGCTACAAAGGTCATTCAGTGCGAAAAATGGTCATAAGTCACTTTTTGCAGTGACTTTGTAGCTTTGAATGGACACTAAATGAACTGTTGTAAGTCAAGGACTCCCTGTTCTCTCTCCATGAAAGTCTGAAGATTTAGTTACAGATAATTACTTTTAATTTAATTGCATATTCCCTTCCTGCTTTAATTTCTGATTCCCCTTTGGCACAGTTGCTTTCCACGCAATAATAAGCACCAGTAAGATTAGGTATTCAGTAAAGGACTGTAGCATAAATAACACTGACAGTACTATTAGTATAATAGTTTGCTTTAGGCAAATCTCATTAATGGTTTTCTACTTTTCTTAAAATTACAAATATAGAGCAGAATTGTGAATGCACCTGCACTACAGGTGCACTACAAGGTGATTTAGCTATTGCAGCCCTTTCCAACTACTTTTATTTTTTTATTTGGATTTATTAGCCACCCAATGCTGTCCAGATGTCTTAAAACACTTCATTTATGTATTCATTTTATTCAACAGTATTCATAGATTGCCCCAAAATGAATGACTCTTACAAAGTGCAAATTTAGAAAATGAATGAAAACATAGTCATTTAAACAAGCCTTCAGGGTCTGAGCTATAGAGATATACTATAAAAATATATATAGAGAATATATATATGTAGAATATACATATGCATGTAGAATATATGTATGTAAAATGCAGGTAGAGTTTGCAACTTTACTCTTACTGTGATTTTGTTAGAAAGTTGATTTAGTAATATTAGATATATTTATAGGCATTTTTTTCACCATAGATTGTTTTCGTAAGATGATTAGAGTTATTGTTAACTGAAATAAAACTAAAAACATCTGTCAGTAAATAAATGAATAAATTTGAAGGAAAGAAAGGAACTCAACAAGGGCGACGAATCATGCTTAGGTCTGAGGTCTGTGGAACTCATATGAAGTCTTTTCAAATATTATTGTTGCTGTTTTGTCTGAGGGGGTCTGTTTTTAACTGCTGTACAATTATGTATTTGAAATATAGGAAGTCCTCAATTTATGACCATAAAAGGAACATGTCCATTATGGTCATTAGTCGTGACAGTAGTAAAACAGGTCAGTCACATGACTGACTGGATTTTAGCACCTTTTTTGGGGGCAGTCATTAAGTGAATCACCACAGTTGTTAAGAGAATGCCACGGTCGTTAAATGAGGGTGCGTTCACCAAGGGTGCAGGTTTTGCTGAAAACCAGAAATAAGTGCTGAGTTTTGGCAAAACCATTGTGGCCTTGTTGGAGAGCGCCCATTAAATCACATGACTGGGAGAGGGGCAGTGGACTGTCGGAACTTTGAATCCAGGTCATAAGTATCCGCCATAACTTTGAATAATCGGTCATAAATCGGTCGTAAATGATCGGTCGTAAATCAAGAACTACTTGTACTGTAATCTAATAAATAAATGAACTCCCTTAGACAAACGGAGTTGCCCAGTGTTGTTTGACTACAAAAAGATACAAAAGGAAGGAAGGAAATTAGTTTAATAATGTTGCCGCACCTTGAGTTATTTTACAAATACCCCCCATTTCCCTGAAAATAAGACCTATCCAAAAATAAGCCCTAGCATGTTTTTATGCGCGCATCTAATATAAGCCCTACCTTCCCCCAAATAAGCCCTACTTAAGAGCCTGCGCAGCTGGCCGCACTCCCATTTTGTCTGATTGTTCACAGTGCCATGGCCCCAAGGCAAGGCGGGAGTAGTGGAGCTGCCCCACGCGCCCTGCACCAATTTACCTCAGGCCATCCACGCCTCAACACTTGCCTCGTGGTGGCAGCCCGGCCTCCTGCCCTGCTGCAAGCAAGCAGCAGTGGGCCTCCCGTACATGGGGGGGAAAATAAGACACCCCCAAAAATAAACCCTAGTGCATATTTTGAGGCCCAAAACACGGATAACTCAAAATGGCGAGCACACCTACTATACTCGTTCCTCCTCCTATTTTCCTCATAACAATAACCCTCTGAATTGGGTTGGGTTGAGAGAGCGGGACTGGCCCAAGGTTATCCAGCTGGCTTTCATGGCTAAAGTGGAATTTGAACTCACTGCCTCCTGGTTTCTAGCTCCGTTATGGCAAACCTATGGTATGCGTGCCACAGGTGGCATGCAGAGCCCTCTCTGCCGGTACGCGAGCCATCACCCCAGCTCAGCTCCACCGCGCATGGGTGCGCGCCTCCTGCTGGCCAGCTGATTTTTGGGTCTCTGCCGCGCATGGGTGGGGTGCGCAAGGGGGCGGGTCGCTCGCGTATTGCATTATGGGTTATAAGTGCAGGGACGCCAACTATGCTCAAAAAGGGGCCCAGAGGAAGTGTGGGGGGAGTGCAGGGGGTTGCATATGCATGCGTGGGTTGAGCACAGGGGGGGGGTTGTCATGCGCGCATTGCATTATGGGTACGGGTGCACTTTTGCACGCATTTTCAGCATGCGACAACAAAAAGGTTAGCCATCACTGTTCTAATCTGTTGCCTTAACGACGGGTAAGTCCTCGACTTACAACAGTTCGTTTAGTTTGCGTAGTTTATTATTATTATGAAAAAAAACAAAAAGTTGTGATTTGAGGTTAATGCCTTGCTTTACTGCAACAGAGAGGGTCAGAAGTCAATGTTCCTTTTTCTTTCTCTTAATCCTTCCTCACTTTTCTTTCCCTCCCCCCACTTCCTCCTCATTGTTTTTCTATTTTCTTTTGTATTTTGTATCTTATTTTATCTTATAACTCAATAAAAATGTTAACGGAAAACAAAAAAAAAGTGACTTAAGAGTGTTTTTTCACACATACGACCATTGCGACATCCCAATGGTCACACAATCAAAATTCAGACGCTTGGCATCCAACTCAGACCAATGACGGTTGCAGGATCCCGGGGACACGTCACATGATCCTCTTTTAGCGACCTTCTGACAAGCAAAAGTCAACGGGGAACCCAGATTCACTTAACAACCAGGTCACTAACTTAACTGCAGCGATTCACTTAACAATTGTGGCAAGAAAGGCTGTAAAATGAGGCCAAACTCATTTAACAAGTGTCTCGCTTAGCAACAGAAATTTGAGGCTCGATTGTGGTCGTAAATCGAGGACTACCTGTACTAGACCATATGAGATATTGCAGTCAGTCAGGAGTTTGCCGCCTCCACAAGTAAACAAACAGATATGCTTTTAGGAAGTGCAAAACCAGCAATGTTTAGGGTGTGTTTGTACAAAACCAATTTCTGTGTGTTTTTGTTATTACTCACAGGGGGGGGGTTGGTAATCATCCACCTTAGAGCTGCATCAGGCCACACTTGGCCCAGCAACCACGTCTTCTTTATTGGAGTCCTGCTTGCCATGCAACTCCCTCGGATTGTGCCTGAACACCCACCACAGTCGTGACAGACAAAAAGGCTGCCCCGCCCTGACTTACCGCCTGGGCTCCCATCTGCTTCTGGCGTTTTTGAGCTTCCAGCAGGTGGCACTGTAACCAGTCGCGTACCTGGTTAACCATTTCCAGGCCTTGCAACAAGGCATCGCGTTCTCGTTCCAGCTGCTGCATCTGCTTCAGCTACACAGAGAGAGAGGGAGGGAGGGAGGGAAGAAAGAAATAAAGGAAGGAAGGAAGGAAGGAAGGAAAAGAGAGAGAGAGAGAGGAAGGAAGGAAAAAAGAGAGAAGGGAATGAAGGAAAGAGAGAGATAGAAAGGAAGGAAAAGGAACGAAGGAAAATGAGAGGGAGAAAGGGAGGGAGAAAGGAAAGAAGGAAAAAGAGAGAGAGAAGAAGGAAGGAAGGAAGAAGAGAGAGAAAGGAGGGAAGGAAAAAGAAGGAAGAAAAATAAGAAAGGAAAGAAGGAAGGAAGGAAAGAGAAAGAAAGGGAAAGAAAGAAAGAAGGAAAGAAAGAAGGAAGGAAGGAAGGAAAAGAGAGAGAGACAAAGGAAAGAAAAAGAGAAAAAGAGAGTAAGGAAGTATAGAGGGAGGGAGAAAGAAAGGAGGGAGGGACGGAGGGATGGAGGGAGGAAGGAAGGGAGGGAGGGAGGGAGGGAGGAAGGAAGGAAGGAAGGAAGGAAGGAAGGAAAAGAAAGAAAAACTGTAATTAGTACAGCTTGTTGCTTATTTGACTCCCAGGAGAATTTCTTTACAATGACCCCGAGCACTTTTAACTAGGCACAAGATACCCTGAAAAGAGATCTACAGTATGAAGTCATCTCCCCCAAGATCCATAATTTAGGAGCAGATGGATTTGTATTCAGAAGAGTTAATGCTCAGCCCTCTCTTCCACGGACTGAAAGCACCAAGGGGGTGGACATAATCTGAGACACAAAGGGTGCTGATAGCCACAACAACAGAATTGGAAAGGATCCTTGGAGGTCTTCTAGTCCAACCCCCAACTCAAGCAGGAGACCCTATATGACTCTGGGCAAACGCTGTTCAATCTCTTCTTGAAAACCTCCACAACTTCTGAAGGCAAGCCCTTCCGCTGATCAATTGTCCTCACTGACAGGAAATTTCTCCTTAATTCTAGATTGGATCTCTCTTTGATAAGCTTCCATCTGTTACTGAAGAGACTCAAACTCATAACCTCATTCTGTCTACCAATTACAACAAAAATGATGTTTTCTCCTCTTCATACCCAGAAGGAGATTCGCAGCGTTTTGGCTCTTCAGAAGAAGCTCAGTTGGTTGAACAGCTAATTTGAACTTCTGGTATTTTTTTTATTTTAAAATAAAATTCTACAGCATGGTAAAAACTGCACGTGGAGTTCTATCCAAATCAGTTTTTAGGACGGCTTGCAATGGCCTCAAAATCCACACCCAGTTACAACAAACAGCGGAGAACCATAATTATGAAACTAAACAATTGTTGGCAATGCTAGCAGTATTGAAGAAACTAATAATTAGGTCTACATGAGCATGCATACATACACAGAGAGAGACACACACACAAACACACATCCCTATACCAAAAGAGGAGTCAGCCCAGCCTATCTCCAGAAGATCGAGAAAACACAACTCTTGATGAGGCTTCCAAGAAAGACTTTGGTGACTGGTGAGCATAAGCACAATATAAATTAAGATGCTTCCAGCACTTAAGGACTTCTATGGGGAAAAAGCAATGTCCTCATTTGCAGGATTTTACCTGCCATTCCAGAACTTCGGACCAAATAAATATTGTTTAAGGTGCGTGCAGGATGGACGAGTGCATCAATCCCTGGTCCTCACAAGGACTTACCCAGATAAAGAATCGCAAGGCGTGGAGATTGCTGAGAGCCGTTCCCAGCGGGATGATGAGGATGGTGTAGCCTCCTTGAACCGCCATGGTGGACCTGCGGTGGTGGGCAGCGGAAGCACTGAGGACCCTACTTTGCTCTCCCTCACCAAGTTTTGGACTTCAAACTAGACCTCAGAAGGAAGATCCTGACTGCACCAGCTGCCAGCCAAAGCAACTGGCTGACCTATGAAGTGGTTGAGCTTCAACTTTCACTTGAAGGTCTTTCAACTGGCTGGCTGGCTGGGTCAGCTGTCATAGATATTCTGGTAGATCTTCTGCTGAGCTGGAATGTTGGGCTAAATCATTCCTGAGGTCCCTCCCAATTCTAGGATTCTGTAAACCACTTCTTTCGGCCTGCTTAGACTTCCAGACGTCAAAGCTGCAACCACCGCACTACTTAGGGGTGTAAAACCCACATGGACAAGTCCTCCTCCTGTTTCTCCTCATCAGCTCTCTTCGGACCACTCTACCATCTCCCTTTTCCTTCTTAAATCCTGCTGGCCCTCCTTCCTTCAACACCTCCTTCCTGCCCACTTTTGAAATATCCTCCCTCCCAGCCTCCCCCTCGACTTTCTCCCTTCTAAACCCCCTTTTTCCTTCCATCTGTCTATCCCTTTCCTTCTTTAGCAGCCCCCGACTTCAACCCCTGCTGCCTCTTCATCTGTAGCCACACCTTCACGCCCTTCTCCTGGAGGCTTTCTCTCTAGCTTTCAGGCCCTTCTCCATCTGCGGTCTTCTTCTCCGTTGCTTTGTGCTGCCTGTTCTTTTTTTCCTTTTGTTTTTCATGGTCCTCTGCTTTATTCTGTGTTTCTTTCTCTCCCTCGTGACCCTTCCCCGGCCCCGGTAGAGGGTATATACTCAGTGTCTGGAAAATTCGGGTTTGCCCCACTCTGCTGAACTCAGCAGTTCTCAAAGCAGGCCGGCTTAGACTTCAGGCTTCAGTTGCCCGGGATAATGGGACCTCTAAGCCCAGTCTTTTCAGCTGCCCACGTGAGCTCGGAAATGGAAGAGGTGAGCAGCGGGGTGAGGATTAACTTCTTTGAATGTCTAAAAACTTTGCCACCAGACTTCTGATACTGAATCAGCAAGCGCTGATGGAGGATTTATTCAGAGCATTTTATCCTGTATTTTTTCCCCGACCCAAGTGGGCCAGGGAAAATGGCTCACGAGAACAGGATGGAAAAAAATCAGGGGAAAGATGCAATAGAAGAAAACTGCACTTAAGACCAGCCCAAATGACACAATTCTTTCTTTTCCCTGTCCTTATGGCTTGTTTCAGTATTAACTTAGAAACCTTTAAGAGAGCAGAGCATACAGGGGTGTATGAGTGTGTATGATTTTGTTCCACAATGCATGAAACTGATCTGTATTTCTTAAGTGAGGAGAGGACAGGAGAGGAGGGGAGGGGAGGGGAGGAAGGGAGAGGAGAGGAGAGAAGAGGAAGAAAAGAAGGGAAGGGAAGGGGGAGGGGAAGGGAAAGGAAAGGAGAGGGGGAGAAGAGGGGAGGGAGAGGAGGGGAGGGGAGGAGAGGAGAGGAGGAAGGGAAAGGAGAGGAAGAAAAGAAGGGAAGGAGAAAGGGGGAAGGGAAGGAAAAGGAAAGGAGGACAGGAGAGGGGAGAGGAGGGAGGGAGGGGTGGGGAGGAGGAAGGGAAGGGAGAGGAGAGGAAGAAAAGAAGGGTAAGGGAAGGGGGAAAGGAAGGAAAAGGAAAGGAGGACAGGATGGGGAGAGAAGGGAGGGAGGGGAGGAGAAGAGGAAGGGAAGGGAGAGGAGAGGAAGAAAAGAAGGGGAGGGAAGGGGGAAGGGAAGGGAAAGGAAAGGAGAGGAGGACAGGAAGGGGAGGTGAGAGGAGGAAGGGAGGGAGGGGAGGGGAGGAGGGAGAGAAGGGAGAGGAGAGGAAGAAAAGAAGGGAAGGGAAGGGGAAAGGGAAGGGAAGGAGAGGAGAGGAAGAAAAGAAGAGAAGGGGGAAGGGAAGGGGGAAAAGGAAGAGAGAGGAGCGGAGAGTAAACTTTTAGTTAACCCCATGGAATCATTTTCTGGATCCCCCTACCATTTCATATTCCACGGCACCGGAAATGGTGTGTCTACGCGATTCCTTTGGAATCATCCTGCACCGCCCACTTTGGGACAAGAAGCTGTTTGTGCTCCTGGATCGAGTGACTCCTTTCCCATCAGATTCTCCTAGAGAAAGAGACAGAAAAGGTTACTGGAGGGTTTTTTTTGAGATTCCCTCCCCCTTTAACTATGAACTATTTGGTTATAGTTTTGCCAGATGATTTTACAAAAATAAAGGTTCTTGCACAGGTTTGAAGGCATCAAAAACACAGATTCTAAGATGCCACAGACTTATTCTGAATCAATTTTCTTAATATGTTGTTTTGTTCTTGTTGACATGATCTTACGTATATCTGATACATTTCGTTCAATAAAACTAACACAGGGACTGTTTTCTTCCTGAAAGCTGCAACCTCCGATAACGGTCATTTTTGGAGATTCTAGGTGGCACTTTGAGATGGTTCATTTGGACCAAGCCAGCCTTCTTCACTCCTCTCATCTTTCTTGACAGGAAACCAAAATCTTGAGCAGACCTCAGCTGAGTCGATCCCTTCATTTTTCATCCTGCCCAAACACCCTTAAGTGGGATTTTTCCAAACCCAACCATCTTTTTTTTTCTCAATATCCAGTTGAGGAAACCTGGTGAGATGAATAGAATAGAATAACAGAGTTGGAAGGGACCTTGGAGGTCTTCTAGTCCAACCCCCTGCTTAGGCAGGAAACCCTATACAATTTGAGACAAATGGTTGTCCAATCTCGTCTTAAAAACTTTCAGTGTTGGAGCTTTTACAACATCTGGAGGCAAGTTGTTCCACTGATTAATTGTTCTAACTGTCAGGAAATTTCTCCTTAGTTCTAGGCTGCTTCTCTCCTTGGTTAGTTTCCACCCATTGCTTCTTGTCCTACCCTCAGGTGCTTTGGAGAATAGCTTGACTCCCTCTTCTTTGTGGCAACCCCTGAGATATTGGAAGACTGCTATCATGTCTCCCCTAGTTCTTCTTTTCATTAAACTAGACATACCCAATTTCAGCAACCGTTCTTCATATGTTTTAGCCTCCAGTCCCCTAATCATCTTTGTTGCTCTTCTCTGCACTCTTTCTAGAGTCTCAACATCTTTTTAAAATCGTGGCGACCAAAACTGGATGCAGTATTCCAAGTGTGGCCTTACCAAGACATTATAAAGTGATATTAACACTTATAAAGTGAATTAGCCCCATCAAACAGAGATTACCTAATACTGCAGATATTGAGTATAGATATTGAGATTCTCAGTCATCCACACAATGTCCCAAAAGTGTTTTTTCCCCCCAAAAGTCAATTGGAATTTCTTGGGGTTTTTTGCCTTTAAAAATGTTTTTCTTCTCATCCAAAAAACTTCTTTAGAATCACATAGCACTACATGTTTTCATAACGAAATAGGAAATATTTCACAAAATTAATTTTAAAAGCAAATATACTTTAATGAAATGGGTGAGAATGGGTATAAAAAAAATAGAGGGGAATCCTCATTTCTCCCACCAACCTAAACTAGTATTAATGTGCCTTTAACGGCACAACCACAGAGATGGTAAAAAGGGTGATGAGGTCCTTTTTGATATCTAATTAGCCCTTTAATTAAAGCTGCTATTTACAAGGGCTAATAATTGATTAACTGAGCCAGAGGTGGCTTGGGCCTGATGAGATTCATTGCTGATTTCCTAAAGGCAGAATTAATGAATAAAAAGCTGTTCATCGCATACATGAAGATTCTTCATTCCTTCGTGATATCCTGTTTATTCTCTTATTTAAGATAGATAGATTGATTACTTGTCATCAAGCCAGTGCCATTTCCTAGCAACCACATCAATTTTCTCCATGATGATCTGTCCCTAACCTGGTCCTTCAAGACTTCCAATAGTCTCCCTACCGCTACTTGATAGTAGTCATCCTCTTCTCTTTCTATCCATCTTTCCCATCATTAGAGACTTAGAGGGGGTCAAGCTATTCTGCAAAGCACCCGAGGGTAGGACAAGAAGCGATGGGTGGAAACTAATCAAGGAGAGAAGTAATTTAGGACTAAGGAGAAATTTCCTGTCAGTTAGAACAATTAATCAGTGGAACAACTTGCCTCCAGAAGTTGTGAATGCTCCAACACTGGAAATTTTTAAGAAGATGTTAGATAACCATTTGTCTGAAGTGGTGTAGGGTTTCCTCCCTGGGCAGGGGGTTGGACTAGAAGACCTCCAAGGTCCCTTCTAACCCTGTTATTCTATTCTACTTCTCTAGAGAGCTGGGCCTTCACATAATGTATCCAAAGTGGGATAATTTGAGTTTGGCTGTTTATCATTTGTAATTTGAGCTTGGTCATTTTGTGCCTCTAATGAGAATTCTGGTTTGTTTTGTTTGATGATCCATTTGCTATGACCCAGTAGTAAAGGAAAGGAGAACCCACCCCTGGTGCTGAAGCTTCTGCCAGATCATAGTTTGTCCTAAATGGGCTGCCGTTGGTTTGTGCAGCCCTAATGTAGGCACTATTGAATCTGGGAAGCTGATTTAATCCAATATAGGTACTCCTCAAGTTATGACGGTAACGGAACCTACCCTTCATGGTTATAACCTGTGACAGCCATAAATTGGGTCATCCATGTAACTGGGCCAATTTTATGACCTTTTTTTTTTTTTGGTGGCAGCCATAAAGCCACCATAGCGGTCATTAAATAAACCAAGTAAATCACCATGAACAAGTCCGGTTTTCAGCAAAAATCTTTGTTAAAAATACAATCACATGACTGCGAGGACACAGCAAAACAGCCATAAATGCAACCTGGCTGCAAAGCGCCAGAAGTTCAGTGACATGGGGATCCAGCTGTCAGAACGTCGAATCCAGATCACAAGCACTCCCGGGGGGCAGCCTGTCATAACTTCAAACCAGGGGTGAAATACAACAGGTTCTGACAGGTTCTGGAGAACCGGTAGCGGAAATTTTGAGCAGTTCGGAGAACTGGCAAATACCACCTCTGTCTCGCTCCAGACTGGGGAGGGAATGGAGATTTTGCTGTATCCTTCACTCAGGAGTATGGAGGGAATGGGGATTTTGCAATATCTTTCTCCCAGGAGTGTGGAGGGAATGGGGATTTTGCAGTATCCTACCCCTGGAGTTGGGTGGGAATGGAGATTTTGCAATACCCTGCTCCTGCCACGCCCACCAAGCCACACCATACCCACCAAGCCACGCCCACAGAACCAGTAGTAAAAAAAATTTGGATTTCACCACTGTTTTAAACGGTCACTAAGTCGAGGACCACCAATTTCACACAGCCCTCGTCTGCACCTGCACCAGGAAATTCTGGAAGAAATGGTCCAAAATCCAAGTCGGTTAGTGACGTGATGGTGCAAAGGCCCATGACATGAAGGGGCACAGGTGCGCGAAACCAGGAAGGCTGCCCGGGTCACCCCCTCGATACATGAGGTCTCCTGGGCATGGGACGAGGGATGCCAGCCATCAGACACGGATCGTGGGGCAGCTGCTCAGCGAAACAGGTCTGGGTCAGCTCGACAGATGGAAGAACGTCTGAGGCTTGTTGCCAAATGCTTGAAGTCACCGCCACTGTCTCCCCACTGCACAAACCGCAGCTGAGGGATCAGCTGTCGGCCGGAAGGCCTAGCGAAGCGCTTCCATCGCCAACGGGATATTCTCCACACAATGCTTAACTGGCCTCTTAAATCCCTCGCCCAATCAGAAGCGTGCTCTGTTTATTTTTGCTTCCCGCTCTTGACTTAATTCATTGTGGCAGGCGTTTGGGCAAATCTTCTTTTGGATCAAAGTCGTGCGGAGCAAAACGGCTCCTTTCCTCCATGAATTCAATTAAGGGAAAACTGTCGGTTGGCAAAGTAAACGCAAATCGGCTTTCTGGCTAGAAAAGGCCGGGGGCAATGAGACTGCTAGGAGGAAAGCACAGGTAGCCCTCGACTTACAACGGTCCGTTTAGCGACTGTTCGAAGTTGCAACTTGTGACCGTTTTTCACACTTACGACCATTGCACCCCCAAGCTTACGTGATCAAAATTCGGATTCTTGGCAACTGATTCCTATTTATGACGGTTGTAGTGTCCTGGGGTCACGTCATCCCCCTTTTGTGACCTTCTGACAAGCAAACTCAACAAGGAAGCTGGATTCACTTAACAACCATGTTACTAGCTTAACAACTGCAATGATTCATTTAACAACCGTGGCTAGAAAGATCGTAAAATGGGGCAAAACTCACGTAACAAATGTCTCACTGAACAACATAAATTTTGGGCTCAATTAAGTTTAGGACTACCTATGCTAACTTTGTCCATTTCTCTGTCCACTTTAATAATATTCTTTCCTGAATCTAGTGAACCCCAGAAAGGTAAGTAAAATTTTTTTACTACCGGTTCTGTGGGCATGGCTTGGTGGGCGTGGCTTGGTAGGCATGGCAGGCGAAGGATACTGCAAAATCCCCATTTCCTCCCAATCAGCTTGGGATTTGGGAGGCAGAGAATAGATGGGGGCGCGGTGAGTCAGAATTTTTACTATCGGTTCTCCAAACTACTCAAAATTTCCACTACCGGTTCTCCAGAACTGGTCAGAACCTGCTGAAACCCACCTCTGTTCTCAATCCACCCAAAATATCCTGGTAAACTCTTCTTATGAGCCCTCCAATCTAATGTCTTGCAGATGCATCAAAAGTACAAGCTCCATTACTCCCAAGCAAATAATTGGCATAGATCAAATTCCTTCTTGGATGTTTGAAAGCCCTACCCAGGGATCACATTCCCAAAAGTGAGTGAGGCAAGGACAAATCCAGCAATAGATATAATAATTTAAATTAAAATTCTAATCAGTTCAAAATAGGATGGCTCCCTATGCATTCAGTGATTTACCTCCTCTCATCTTAAAAGGATAAATCAGCAAAAATAGTTGATTTAACTATGCCTTTAATTATCCAAGGATTGCCCATAACACAAGGAAAAGCAGATTTAGATACAGCTCCTAAACCGCAAATGAGAAGTCCAAAGGAATGGAATTGGAGCCTAACTTCAAAACAATAATATTTATCAGACAGATAAATTAGACTTCCAGAAACACTATAGGTCAATCTCCATATCATGAGCTACTTTCAA